AATTTAACTAACAATGCTAATTGGAATTGTAACATTTTTCTCCACGGAAATGGTACAAGAAAAATGAATTTGGTAAAAGATCAAAAGCATTTAGACACGTCAAAGAAATTGGTTACGAATTAAAGAGAGAAATAACTACGGTTGGTATAATATAGCAATTAAAGTAATAATCTCGTGTATCTCTCTACTTTCCTTAGCATTTACTCTTTGTCGTTGGATCCGAACGTATAAACAGGTTTTTTTTTCATGTATAGATAGATGTGTATGAGTGTACTATATCCAAAGTATCATAATTAACCATTTCCAAAGCTACACGTAATCACATACAATATTATACTCCCTCCGTTTGAAAATATAAGACATTTTGGAGAAACTGTTTTGTTTCAAAATATAAGTCATTTTCAAGTTTCTATGCAAATTATATATTATTTATAAAATATTTTATGATTATTTTTATTATGGAGTCTCTTTTATGATTAGCTAAACTTTTAAAAAGTAGATTTTATTAATCGGCGTGTTTTTAGCTAAAACGTCTTATATTTTGAAACGGAGACAGTAGTATGTGAAGTTAATAGTTGCATAAGTAAAGTTAAAGTGGTCTTTGGTCAAAGATTAAGAATGCTCAATCATCGAGGCACATGGTTTCACGCCGTTAATGATTTGTCGAAAACTTGTAATCATCGAATTTTTGTCTCTTTACTTTCTACTTTTCTAGTATCTATTGATCTATGGTTATCTTAACCATCATTACGAGTATCTATGTCAAACGTAATCTTTATAGTTTTGTTTTTGGTGAAACACGCAAAAGATCCTATTTAAAAAAAAAAAAAAAAAAAAAAAAAAACTAAATTCAATAAATTGTCCCATCATATAAAAGCAAAACTTATTGCTAAAGAAACACTGAAACAGAGAGACTCGATGTGAAGAGTTTTGGTACGCCAAAGTTAATGCCTTGTAATATTCCCACCTGTAAAGTTGCTTTAGAGGTAATTACTCTGTTTACGTGCGTGTGTTAGCTTGTCCTATTCAGATTAATCTGGTGATCTTGTGTGATGTTTTATAAAGAAAAGAAAAAAAGTAAACAAGGCATCGCTCTTGCTGGCAAATTTGAAACCAACTAAAAGGAAATATCAACAGAGGAAAGCTGTTTATATTGCAGAGAGCTTCCAAATACAAAACAAGAAGCAAAAGACCTCAATTCAAATGTTAGCTTCTTCTACTCATCATTAGTTTTCTTCTACTGTAGCTTCTAAACCAAATTCTATCTCCAGCTACTATTTACTGTACAGCCCCCCCAAAGAAGACCCTTCCTGTTATTAATCCTGTTACGGTTGTGATTGCTGCTCTACATTTGCATCTTCTTCAGCCAATGTTCCCTCCTCTGTTTGAATCCAAGGAATGAGTAAGACTTATTACTCAATTGTTAAGAAAGAACTGCTTAACCATGTCTGTCATGTTTTACCTTGCTTTTGTGTCGACGAATCTACTCCAGGATCAGCTTTAGGAGCATCTGTTGATATCTCATTTCTCAATGGCTCTACATTCGCCTGATCATGAGAAACTGGTAATGGTTCTGTGTTCACAATCCTCTGCAAAGTATTCCATATATAAATTCTGGTAAGAAACAGCATTACTCCAAATAGCTAAAGCTGTTGTAGATAATGTCACACCGTATCGAGTTGAGAAGCATCTTGATCTTTGACATCAGAGGTAACAGCAGCGGTTTCTGCCTCCTGTGTTCCCGCAGCGGTTTTTGCCTCCTGTGTTCCCGCCATGTTCACATTAGCATCATCAGCGTCAATCATGGGTGTGTCCGTACCATGTGAATCTGCAACCTTCTTGTTAGTATCATCAGAAGGATCAATAGGACCAGCTTGTTGGCTACTACCAGCTGGATCCTTGCTCAAAGTTCTTGGCATCTTTGCTCTATGATCACAATCTCCATCTGATGTAGCAGGCCTTTTCCTGTTAACAATCACAAATAAACCATGCTTTAGAACAAAGGGGACACGAGAAACTATAACCTAAGAAAAAAGAGAATAATAACTAACACTTGCCTATTACTAAAGCTTGAATCTGCGGTTTGAACAGAGCTGTGTCTGTTTGAAAACAAAACACCGCGAAGAACTTTTCCATCAATGATCGTTTCTATAGTGTAACCTAAAGGGACGTTTTCAGTAACCCTGGCTTGAAACATTGGTTTTCTTTGATCAATCGAGCCAATGTTCAAAGGGACATTCTCTCCTCCTACAATAAAACCATATACAATAAATGCTACATTTTTTGTTCCCGATTTAATCTCGAATAACGTAAGAGTTCATGTTAGCAAACCATGGTCAATGTTGGTTCTGGCCACAGCTAAATCCTGCCCATGGCATTTTAGCTTCATTTGTTTCCTTAGAGACAACCGCCCTGGATTTTGATTAAACTGCACATCGTATCCACCTTCTATTACCCATAAGCAAAGAAGATTAGGAGAATAATTAGCAACCTTGCACAAAAGAAAATTTGCTATAACAAAATACAGAATATTAGCTACAGATACTGAAGAATCGGAGTAAAACCGAAAGGTTGTAACAAACCTGTGTGTAAGTAGTAAATGTCATCCAACGGCTCAAGATTCTTATTGCAGCCACCAACAAAGAAAAACGAACCAGCCTTGTAAGGATGTAAACAAACCGCTGCAGAAGAGAATCTAGGAGATGGCCCTTCTTCCATAGCAACTACCTTGGACCATACACCCGTTTCTACAGAGACAAACGAACATTAATAATTATTTTGACATCAGCGACTATTGAGAATTGAAGGCTTGTCAGTAATGAAGTTTTTGGTTACATACCCAAATCAAGCACATATAGATCATCATAAAGATTCTGAGAATCCGTAAACCCTCCAAATACAAATAAGTTCCTCTCTAGTGCAACAGTGACATGACCGGCTCGAGGTGTTAACAACTGTCCTGAAGTTCTCAATTCCTTCCAAACAAATTTATCTGAAAATACAGAACCAGAATATCAGAAGACATACACACAAGCAATAAACAAGATGTGCTTAAAGAATGATTTTTGCACCTGTATCAAGGATATGAACGTCAGAGAGATAATAGTCATCCAAATCTTCACCACCTACTACAATGATTTTGTTCTTCCACGCTGAGCAAGTGTGGCTATCGCGTGCAGAGGGCGGTTTCCCAGATGTTACAGCACGTTTCCACATAAAAGTTTCTAAACAAGATTAAAGCCGGTTCAGTTACACGCATGCCTCCACGAAAATGACAGCAAATTTTTATAATTCACAAATTAATGCACATTGTGGCTAACAGAAGCTAACATCCAATATGTATGTCTGCTCACACAAGGAGCCAGTGCAAAAAGGCCCATTCTCAAATCTCTCTCAGATCCCATATCAGTTAACCATAGATGATATATGAAGAAGATTAACATGGAAACTAAATAGCAGCCTAAGCAGTATACCTGTATTAAGTATGTAAAGGTCATTATAGAATACTTCATCATCCGAATCAGAAGATTTTCCACAGCCGCCAAATATGAAAAGACGTTTGTCAACAAGCGCTGCACTATGAGCCTCTCTTGCCCCTGGTCCTTCCCCTCTAATATCCGGGCATATCCAAGTATGTGAAGCTACCACACACAGAAAAAAGAGAAGCAAACCCAAAAACAAAGAATCGGATTCAAACTCAAAAACCTCAAACCAGGAACAGTTAACACAAGCATTTTCTTGATATAACCAGACAACAAAAGGAAAGATGGAAGAGCTTACAAGTATCTAGAATGTGCACATCGTTGAGATAATTGGTCCCATCAGTACCACCAAACACAAAAAGGTTATCCCCAACTGTTGTACAGCTGTGACTGTCCCTCGGGCAGGGCGGTACACCATTGATTACAGGTCGAGTCCATAACTGCGTTTCTGCAACAAAATTGCAACAAATGAGACTGTTTCAACAATGAAGATTTTGAAAACATGACTACAAGTAACCATAAAACAGCATCCCAACAAATAATCTTAAAGTCCAAATCATTCAAGTAAGGTATAACAAGGAAAGAAACAGTGGCTAGTTACTAAAGGACAAAGATCAAGATTTGCAACAAATGGGGTCTACCGCACGAATGAACGAAAGAAAACCCTACAAATTGAACAAAACCATCGATACATAGAGATCAATCAAAGGTTCAGACTTTTTGCAAAACCCACAACGAGAATCGACGCACACGAACAGCCGTAAGAGAGAAAAAGCTGACATTTTCCAGAAAAGATACTCACGAGTGTCGAAGACATGAACTTGATTTGTTAAGCAATTGTCTCTGCCAAAACCACCGAAAACGTAGAGAAATCGACCACCTTTAATGGCGTTACAAGTGTGTCCCCATCTATTCCCGGGCCCGGAAGAAGAATCACCGAGACCCACTTGTCGGACCCTCTCCCACCTCATTTTCTTGGAAGAAAGATCCTTTCTTTGCGTTTGAGAAAATGCGGGAAAATTAAGGGTTTGTGGAAGGAGATTATAAAATTGAAGACAAGAGGAAATCCAAAATCCCAAAATTATTTCTTTTAATGCTAATGGCGATACAGAGGAATATAAAGGTGTTTCCTTTGCTTTAGGTTTTTTACAAACGGAGCTTCTTTGCTTTTTATTGTTGATATTTATTTCTGTTTAACGAAGCCATTAAATCCAATGAGTAATGATGTCAAAAAAAAAAAAAATCCAGTGAGTAATGTTTTTTGCCATCAAAAATGTGTGTCCAATGAGTAATTTAGTGGTAGACTGGTACCCATAGCTCTTCATTTTTTTGTAAATAATAAAACTAGTATTTAAATGTACTAAACACCTTAAAAAGTGGAGATAATTCATCATTGTTTTTCTTAATTTAAGGTGTGTCAGTTTTAAAGGAATAAAGAATATTTATTGTTTGTTCTGTATAATCTTTGTGATTGACGTCAAAAGAAAACAATATCTTGGTGTTGAGACTTGAAATAAATGTCAAGACAATAACCTTAAGATAATCTACAACGTTCAATTAAAAGTTCCAATTTTGACGACAAGAAATAAAAGTAGTTTACGTTGGAACCAAACCCATTAAAAATTGATCTCTTCGTTCAGTTTACAACACACTCCAAAAGTGTACCACTCAGCACCAAAATTTCCAAAATTTCCAGCCCAAACGAAAAAATGGTATTAATACTAGTCTCATTTGTCACATAACTAGTATGATGATCAGGTTAATTGATTCTTTTGCAGCAAGTCCAAGGTTCAATGGAGAAAGTAAATAATCAATCAGTATCAGAATCGGCCTTTCCTTATCCGTGCCCACGCCATGGCTGCAACCACAACTCCTCCCATCAGACGCACCGAACTTCTTGAGATATTGTTATTTTTCCCCTGCATTCCCAAAAAGTTGGTCTGGTTAAGAGACAGTCATAATGTTTCCAACCAAATGTGGATTAGATTCTCAGATAATACAGACCTCTAGAATCTTTAACATCTCGAGTCCTAAGAATAAGATTCCCTGAAGATTAAAGAGTGAGACTTTTTCAGCTGGTTCAGAAGAGTTTCACTCATTATGACGAGCATGTAGAGAGTTCTTACCCCCATTACAGGCACTCGGAGCATCAAAACAAAGTATGTAGTAACTTTTGGGTAGAGGAACATATCGAGCAGCGCGATGGCAAACACAGATCCATCAGCACCCTGTACACAAATAGGAAAGAGTTTACCTCATCAGCATTTGGTGATCCAAAACAAGTGTGCATGCATCTTTGTCTCACTCTCTATATATCAATCAAAGATTCCAGTCTGCTCATGCTCAGACAAAATCATTTAACTAGATGAGTAAAAAAACATACCAGCTGCGAATAGGGGAGTTTTGATTTATCAATGGTGACAACTCCTTGACCCTGTATGATTGACCAACCAATATCGGAGGTAAGGCAATTTGTATAAACCCCACAACTCCGTGTAGCACATGTTACATGTAACATGTACTTCAAATGAATTGGAAATAGGATCAATGAAAAAAATAGTATTAACCTGTGGACCTAGCATGATTTGAAATTAAGGAAACTATGCTGGTTGCTCTATACCTTGAGTGTAGCCAAGAGAGCATGATTACTCAAGAAGAAAACAGAGCTACCAAGTGCTCCAGCAAAGTACAGCTTCAAAAGGTAAAGCGGCCCCAAGGTTCTTGCAATCTAAGAACAATGGGTTTGAGAGATAATGATAGATAGTTAATTTAATTGAAAGATAAATAGGTAGCAAATCTTCCAAAAAGAACCAACTCAATGTCTATCTAAGGACGTTTCTTTCTAAAGTTAAGTTGCTGTTACAGTCACATGAGCCAAATTAATAATGTGAATATGTGCTCCAATCAAGTGTAAGTGACCAGTTCAAAGGAAACAAATGAATGCATTTCTCATCTCATTTACGGTAAAAGAAAGAGTCATACTCTGGTTCCGAAGTAGTAGAGTCCAATCATGTTCAAGATGATTTGATTGGTTCCAACATTACTAAAACCCGAAGTTATCAGCGTGTGTATACGTCCACTCGTAAAACTTTTCGTTGTTAGCTGCCCAAACATCAAGGTAAATAATATCAAAGATCAACCAAATCCAAGGCAAGAGTTTAGCAGTAAACAAGAGAAAAAAAGTTCTGAGTTTTGAGTTAGACCACAAAATGTTTCAACATCCACCATCTGTTTGAAACCCGCCACATTGTAAATACTGCAACATTAGCTATTATCAACCCAAAAACTACACCATTAGCTCCATTAATCCAAGACTTCCTGCCAAAGGAAAACACAAGTAGCCCAATAAAGTGTTATTTTTTTTGGGTATTATTTAGTATCCGCAAACCAAAATCATATGGAGCAGGTGAAGAATTTAAGATTTCTGATGTTATTTCTTTATCTGGAGAACAATTTCTCAAAGAAGAAGGTCTAAACAGTGTCCAGCTGCTAGTCTATCAATAAAGAGAAAAGCATCAAAAGAGCTTTAAGCTGCTCAAAGCAAGAACTACACAAAAATGGAAAAAAGCAAGTAAAGACTACTAATTTCTCATTTTTCTTTTCTGAATCCTCACACATGTCTTTGTCTTGGTAGAGCTAAAGCACAATTGACCAGAAAAGCTAAAGAGAGTAGTGAAAAAAGGTCGATGATTTATCACATAATCTCTGTCCAAACCCTAAATCAAAACCAGAAATTTATCTCCGAAAACGTAGCTAACTAGAACAAACAGAGTACAGTATAAAACCTGAGGATCATAGAGGAAGAGAACTCAGAAATTTCAGAACTTTTCCTTGGAAAGATTCGAACTTTACTTTAAAAACCCAGTAAAATCACAAAAAGGGAGAGGAAAAGAAACGATACCATCCACGCTTTTGAAACCCAGTAAAACCCTTAGACTCGATTAATCCATTACTAGGAAGCTGAGAACTGAAGAACCCAACTCTAGATTCCAGAACATTTCTGAATTTCAGCTTTAGATTGGTGTTCCCCAACGTGGTCGCGAAAAAGCCATGAACTTTCTCCAAACGCGATAGAGAAGGAACAAAGCGGGTGGCTGAAGAAGAAGATGAGAGGGTAGAAGGAAGAAGAAGATGGCTCATGAAATGGCGACTCTGGCTCGGCTGTTTCGTCACCAATTTGGTGAGCTGCGAAGAAAAGCCAACGACGACGACCCTGCGAGAGAAAATCGCATGCATTTCTCCTTTTTTCTCGAAATTAATTTTCAAATTTTACCAAATGCATGAACTTCTGAATTACATTGTCATGAGATATTTGTGAAAAAAAATTTCACCTTTTTTTAGTGATATAAAAAAGTTAGTAACGAGAAACAACTTTCATTTTAAGGTTTTAAAAAAAAAAAAAAAATCTTTCCCGTTTATAAATTTTAAAAGATTCACTAAATCATACATTGTCTCATCTCCAAAATTAAAATTTGTGGATGCTTACACAAATGGATGTCTTGGGTGGGGAAATATATGAGCTTACCACATGGTTATACTTCACCTAATGGCCACCCTCTTCCTCTTAATGTAGTATGTAAACTGCATAAGTTTTTATATGGACTCAAACAAACTTCACGCCAATAGTATCATCGGTTGTTTATTGTCATATTGAACGCAAGTTTCAATCAGTCCTTCTGCTGATCATACATTGTTCACCAAGAAGACATGACCCATTTTTGTTGCGGTTCTAGTTTATGTTGATGACATTTTGATCGCCACTAACAATGTCGAAGCAGAACAGAAACTTAAGGCTATCTTACACAAGTATCAAATTATCAATTGAGAGAATTTCACCAACTATAAAACCAAAAAGATCAGAAATAACCATAACCGCAAACAGTTGCGGAGCTAGAACATATTTTTATTGGGGTCAAAATTCTATAAACAAAACTAAACATTAAAAATATATTTTGTAAGCGACTATATTTATAATTAAAAATCTAAATTTATAAAGATTTACATGGCTTAAATGACTGTTTTATGGGTTTGGGTTCAATTTAGAAAGATCAAGTATATTTTTAGCTAGAGAATATGGGTTTTGGATTTTCTTTTTAAGTAAAACATATGTTTAAGTCAGATTTATAGGGGTCAGAGTAAAACTTTCAATGGGGTCAATCTTACATTTTTAAAAAAAACATTAAAGGTATTTAAAGTTTGTTGGGGTCAGTTGACCCCCTCCATTGCACATGCCTCCGCCCTTGACCGCAAAGCTGTCATTTCATACACGCAATGGCTGCCATTTCATACACGCAATGGCTGCCATTTCATACACGCAATGGCTGCAATCACATTAAGCAAAAACAAAAATATAGAGACAGAGCAACTTCACCTCTTATGATTTTATTAAAATCGTTTAAGAAGTCTTTACTCGAAACATCAAGACACGTTTTTGATTCGACGCTCAATATTTCCTAGAATCTATTATCTCTTTAAAGCGGCTGACTTAAACAAAGATCTTAAACTTTATATTTATAAAAAACAAGGTATATGGAAACAAACACATTCTCCTAAGGAAAAACTTGCATTTGCCTCTTTTTTAATAAAATTTTATTTTTTCTTGGATATTCTTATCTAAGTATTCATTTATCATATTAGTTTATTTCGAAAAGTTTGTTCGCTCAAACTCATAAAGGTAAGAGCTTTGCTGGTTCAGGATCGAATCGGGTTGGATTGAATTAACCCGATCGATTTAACTAAATGAACTCCTCCATTATCCAAGAAAATGCCCCTCAAGATAAGAAGAGCAATGAATTAACCCGATCGATTTAACTAAATGAACTCCTCCATTATCCAAGAAAATGCCCCTCAAGATAAGAAGAGCAAGTTATAAGCTCAGAAAGTCAGAATAGAAAATCAAAATCCCCTAATACGAAGAAGAGAGGCAATAAGGAATCCAATAGAGAAAAGGGAAAAATACACACAAAAAAAAGTTGGAGGCTTTATCAAAATAAGACAAAACTCTGAGCCTTAAAGTGTAAATACAATAAACATGACTTCGTCTTCTTCCTTCTCCGTCCATTGCTACACAATAGTGCCCTTCGAAGCCGAAGCTAAATCAGAATGGCTTCAAAACTGAAAACCTTCACCAATCTCCATGGCTACACAATAACAACCTTACTCCACCAGAGTCGATCACTATCTTCAAATCCCTCTTCACGAATTCTTACACCTATCAATCAATCGCACTACAGGAAACGAATTTTACTAGCGAATCTTCTTCATAGGTATGGCTTCCCTCCTTCTTCTCTCCAACACTTCCTCTCTAGAAACAATCACCTATTGAATTTGGATTTAGTAGAAACCGAAGCATCTCTCGGTATCTTGTTATCGTTAAAAATCCCTCAGAAATCTCTCGTTTCGTTGATTTGCGATTGCCCTAATGTTCTGCGATCAGAGTTCCTGAGGAAATGGAGAGTTCCTCTGTTTGATTGCGGTAAACACGGTGTCTCATCTTCCGCGATTAAGAGCGTCCTTGAACATTCTAGTAGAATTGGGATTGGTCCAGATAAGTTTTATGAGTGCATAAGGGTTTTGAAGGGTTTAGGGTTTTGTGATAGTACTGTGAGTAGGATCTTAAGTTCATTCCCAGGTGTTCTTTTAGTGAATGAGATTGAAATTCACAGGAAGATTGAATTTTTAGTTGGAATCGACATTCCTCGAGATAACATTGAGAGGTTTTTTCACGTTTTTCCTGAGGTTCTAGGGATTGGTACTGAGACCAGACTTAAGCCATTGCTTGATGAGTTCATAAAGATGGGGTTTAGCAAGGATGATATAAAGGAAGAGATTGCTAGAGAACCGAGAGTTCTTGGTTTGGAGTTAGGTGAGCTTCCGCGGTGTTTGGAGTTGATCAATACATTGAAATGCCGGGAAGTGATCAGACTTAGTATAATCAGCGAGGGAGCATTCCGTGCTGGGTTTGAAGTGAAACTCAGAGTTGATTGTTTATGCAAATACGGGTTGATTCGTAGAGACGCATTCAAGGTTGTGTGGAAAGAGCCAAGGGTGATCTTATATGAGATAGAGGATATAGAGAAGAAGATTGAGTTTTTAACTAACAGAATGGGATTTCACATCAATTGCTTAGCTGATGTACCGGAGTATCTAGGGGTTAACCTCCAGAAGCAGATCGTTCCACGGTACAATGTCATTGATTACTTGAAACTAAAAGGTGGGCTTGGCTGTGATATTGGATTGAAAGGTTTGATAAAACCTAGTATGAAAAGATTCTATAATTTATACGTGAAGCCATACCCAGAGTGCGAAAGAATCTTTGGCAAGAGAAAAGAGAATGCGCGAGTGAATAAACGACATCCCGCTGGGCTTTGGAAGCTTATGAAGCCACCTAGCTATCTAACAACAAAAGAAGATGTAGTGAACATGAAGTCTTTTATAGAGTCACTTGCTTAGAAGATTTGGATCTTATACTGCTTGAAACAAAGATTGCCTCTTACTAGAGTGAAAATGATCGGCCATTCTCTTGAGGATTCTCGCTTCCTCACTTTGCTACTCTGAAATGATATTGGTTATCAGGAAACTTCCAGGAGCTATCGAATCCGATTTCAATTCGCTCGAGTTCATGGCTTGATTATTCAAAGGACAATGCATACTCCTGAAAAAAAGTACCGAATAATCATATGCTCACTTCTCGTTGTGCATCTTGGAGACGGAAGACATCTACCAATGCCATTGCCTTCGTTTCCATGTCTCTGCCTTTACTGCCTGATAGATTTGCTGAGCAAATTGGTTCTTAAAAGTCAAGTGTATGTTCCAACAGTAACTACTAGTTTGGGATGTTACGTGGGCCGAGCCAGGCCGGCCAGTAGCCCGTTTTGGCAACTTTTATGCTAGGCCGATCCATCTGTTCCGTGATCCATCTCAAACATCTTCTTTTTTTTTTTGCATTTATACCAAAAATATTTTGTTGACAACAAAAAGTCTTTCTTAAAAACTATTTTCAAGCTGAGCTATAGAAAACGATGAACATGAGATTTAGATTTATTTAAGGCAGAATTGGTTATATATGAGTCATTCATGCACTCTGCTTAATGTGTAGAAAGTTTTTTTTTTCAGAGTGCAAGGATTTCAATGGGTAGAAAAGTTAATCAGTCAATCACTAATTATAGTAGCCATACTTTTAGATTTTTTTTTTTTTTTTCCAATCAAACACCATATATTAGTTCACGGAATAAGACTCTCTTTTAGAGAGAGCCAAACAGGTACCGTCAAACGTACATGGGAAAAACAGAACCCGCGATTTCTTGCACATTTCGCAAGATAATCGGCGGAGATATTACCACTACGGGGAATGTGCTTAAGACTGAAAGTAGTAAAACGATCCCTGTAATATGTAAAGTCTTTCAATTCTGTAGAAAACGTAGGCCACTCTTCAGGAGCACAGGTCATAGTCAATAGGTCAGAACAATCCGTCTGAATGAGGATACTCGTCATTGGGATCGCCAATAAGCACTTCATCGTCCATATGAGAGTATCCAGCTCTGCATGCAGGGGAGAAAGACTTCTACGCGAGCCTTTTAAGCCTAAGTGTAGCAGTCGTCCTCCTTGAAAAACAAGCCACCCGTGTCCACTTCTAGTCTCCGTCCCGAGCCAAGACCCATCAATGGAGCATACCGGTCTGTCCTCTGGGGATGGCGACTCGTGCGTACTAAGTACCAACTGGGTCTGGGGGTCTTCTCTCTGATTTGCTCGCCTCCACGCGCCTTCCTCTTGAGTTGCAAGATCTAGCGTTTCCTGAGGTGGTACGCTCAAATTCTCGAAAATCTTTCGATTGCGCGCCTTCCAAATATACCACATAATCCATGGGAATACTCTTAGGCTCTCTTCATCCGCACCCGCCTCTTTACCCCGCCAATATAGGTAATCTAAGTTATTGTAGAGCGACGCCGAGGGAAACAGCGCTGGGGAAGATGGGATGTTGGAGAGAGCCCAGACTTGTCTAGCAGGAGAACATTCAAAGAGCAAGTGGTTGATTGATTCTTCCTCTGCACCACATCTTGAACATCCTTTATCTCTGCCAATATGGCGATAAAATAGTCATTGGCTTGAAGCCAAGCAACCAGTCACACATTGCCACACGAAATGCTTTAATTTTCGCGTAGTTTTTAATTTCCAAGCTTGCGCCTTGAGTGTCGTAACACTAGGTCCCTGAGAAGGGTTGTCGCAAACAGGGCGAGAAATACTTCTCGCGACCTCGTATCCAGATTTGACGGTATAATTACCAGACTTTGTCATTGTCCAACAATAACCATCACTCGAGACAATACGACTCGGTTTAATCCCTAGTATGAGGGTAATTTCCTCCGGGGGAAACAATTCCCGGAGACGATCCATCTTCCACTGTTTAGATCCAAAGTCAATCAAGGTAATAACGCAAGCCAAAGGGTCTCTCTCCACCGTTAACCCCTTAGGTGGGCGTGCCGGAGTATCTGGTATCCATGGGTCTGTCCAAATGTAGGTACCGAAGCCCGAGCCAATGGTCTTGCGGATTCCATATCTAAGAACGTCCTTGGCAAGACCAGAGTGCAAGGATTTCAATGGGTAGAAAAGTTAATCAGTCAATCACTAATTATAGTAGTCATACTTTTAGATTTTGATTATAGAGAAAAGCTAACTTTTATATACATAGGTAGATTACACACACGGTTTATAAAAAAATTAAGGTGAACAACAAGAACAAGAAGTATCTGAAAAAAAACAAAACTTAGATAAAAATTATAGAGAGTGTGTTTAGACTTGGATGTAAGATTCGACAGTTGGTCAAATAACATCTTTGACTTGGTCAACGTGTTTACCAACGGTTTTCGGTTATTTATAAAGACACATACGAGTGGTGAGCTGTGACATTTGCTTTGTCCTTAAGCATCATCACAAGCCAGCTTAAATTGTCTCTACGGTCAGACAACCTATGACCTTATTATACACACGTATATGGAGCGTTTTTCAATTTCGTATGGCATATATATGTGTCACTGTGTATGTGTGTGGTATCATTGTTGAAGGGAGACAATTTTGTGGTTAACGAGGTCGATGCTTTGTTTGGTCCATACCCTGCATCATGCATGGCCACCATATTACTATGTTTTCGTGACGTAATTGCTGATACGTATATCAATTTTCAACCAAACTAGTTGAATATGATTCAATTAAGCAAATACATAATTGATTAACAGGCCAGCTAGCTGGATTCAATAATCCATTAAGCATGCATGTTATGAGAAAATTCTGGTATTCAATATTCAACTAGTTTTGTAACTGATAGCATATATGTATACGACCATTGAACTTAAAATCAAATAGGTGGCTTCAAACCCCCGAATTTTAATCTAACCTCTTTGTAAGTTGATTTATACCAATTTCTGTATATAAACTATGAAAAGCCATTAGTTTTTTTTGGGGTTGAAATTAATGCAGCCATTTGTTTTTTTATATATGGATCCAAACCAAATATGTATACCCTTATTAAAGCCGGATTGAATATGGATAATCTCCATCAATAACTACTTGGTCTTGGTTATTAATATCTCATCATCAACGTCTAAAGTCTAGCTAAAAACTAACTTTTATATTCCTAAAGATTCAATATTATGACCTAGCAATTTTATACTCGGTTATTCGTGTTTTTATTTTGGACAAATGAGTCCAAGGGCCGATCGATCTCCATCCCTCCTCGGTTTTACTTTTACAAATGATTAAAATATAGGTTTGCATGAAGGACCGACACTGTCAAGTCATGTGCGTTTTTAAGAGACAATGAGGAAACAGTGACTTTTTTGTTGGGTCAAAGGGAAGCAAATCCATCTTGTTGGTTAACGATTTCATTATTAATTTTGGAGGAGTCCCAATGGAATATCTAGGTAGAAATCATGATAACGGGCAATTTGAATTCAAGAATTAAAAATTCCGCTCCATTAATCCATTTCATTTTACATTAAAGTTTTACTACAATGAAGAACTATATATAGTTGAATACACACGTTGCATCGAATGACCTAGATATATGGCTGAGATACATTTTTCATTGATTTATGAGATGGTCGGAATTTGGAACACAATTATATAGTACTCGTGTTGATCTACATTTGTTACTATGTAGAATGTACAAATGTACATCAAAATCGTAGTTAACATATGCTAGTTTAAGCTATAGCCTTTCTTTTGTACTTCCTAAAGCCTAAAGGTCCAATTAAGTAGCCAACCCTATATAACTCTTTCACATTTGAGTCAAATACTCAAATCCAAATATATAATTTAGGGATTTTGGTCTAATAGCAAAACTTATAGAAATTGCCACAAAACATTTGTCTTTCCAAATGTGCCATAATGGTTGACAAGACTTTGAACCGAAAATTTCTGGTAGACAAAAAATATTGTCCACCTTTGAAACAACAAACTGGAAAGATATTTGGTGGACAAAAAATCTAGTCCACCTTTAAAACAACAGATTTTTGGTGGATAAGAATTCGAAACGACATACAAAAATTTGGGTAGACAAGAAATGTTGTCCACCATTATGACACATTTGGAAAGATTTATGTTTTGTGTCATTTTTGCTAAGTTTTTGAACAGTAACTCAGTAAGTGACACATTAGTTAGTTTGCTCTATAATTTAACCGACTATATTGTATATCAGCTATCAATTCTCATAAAGTGGCTTCTTAATTACTTGTTTGTTAAAGCTGTGATTAGTTACTTCTTAATTAATTGTATTTTATGTTTATATATATCTTCCTCCTTCACTTATTTTATTTCAACTTCCATCGGTAATTAACTTTCCCATACGCAAAAAAAAAGGAAATTATTCTCTACCAGTAATTAACTTTATTCTCTACCAGTTAAGGAAATTATATCGTTCTTAATTACATGCATTATCGATTAAAAAAAAGTATCAGAATTCAGAACGATCATCGCTATTTAGTCCTCGTAAAAATATTAAAGAATAACTGGTCCGACGACATTGCTAGGTCCACTTGACTGCGAACGTATCGGTGTCCGCAAGATTTATTGACTAGCAGGTATAGGAATTGGTAATAAATACATGAATAATTTTTCTTATGCATATTTCTCTTTATATATAAAAGCTTTTTAAGTTCTAACTTATTGATCTGATGTCTCTTGTTAAATATGAGGTATTTTAATATGTTTTTTCCTTTAGTTAAATGAATAGACAAAATGGAAATTATATTTTAGTCAGTTCACCGAATCTATTATTCAATAGGGGAATTTGTTTCTATCTGTTGTTCTTTCTCGTCACTGGAATAAACTGAATGATTTATTTTGTTTTTGCTCAATATAACTTCTAAAATGCAGTAAGAACTTTTTAAAAAATTATTTTCTGAAAATGAATATATATTGGATACAACCGTGATTTGTTATATATCGAAGTTACATGGAACAAAATAGATGTAACTTTAAACTCCTATTATTCTTTTTTGGTAAAACTCTTATAATTCTTACAAGTGCTTAACTTGTCAAGTAGATCTATTATTTGGATACTTTTATATTTTGAAACCTTCCATTGATTCTGTGACTTCTATCACACAACCTCTTTTCTCTCTTTGGAATTTAAATTAAAAAAGTATTTATGGTAGGCGTCCGAAGAAATATGTTACGTAGACGATGATCTAAATTTTGTAGAAAATTAACGAAAAAGGATTATGTGATAACCATTGGTACTGAACTTTTAATATAAAAATGATTGGTACATTCATGTAACACTTTTTTAAAAAAATATGTAGCCTGTAGGTATATAATGGCTTTACTCGGATGTCATGTAAACCAAATCATGTATAAACCATGCAAAAAGGGGCAAATCCATCAAATGAAAAGAAGAAGAAAAAAAACGGTGCGATGTCTTGACTCTTGACCATGGTTAAAGCGTACCTGACTGGACTTTATAATCCATCTAACCCTAGTTAAAATCCTCCACTATATAAGAAACATTCTCACTGTCCCCATCATCACCAACTGTTTCTTCTCTTATGCTCTCACTAGCTAAAAACCCCTAAGTTCTTCTTCAAGAAAATGGCTATTGATATGTATCTTTCCTTCGCTTCTCGATCTGGATCTTCTTCATTTCTGAGTCTCGAGCTTTGTCTCAGCATTTTCCTCTTCATCTCCCTTTTCGTTTTCTGGTTGACTCCAGGTGGCTTTGCTTGGGCACTCTACAAAGCTCGTTTCCATACCCGACCTGAGTCCAAAACCGGACCCGCCATTCCCGGCCCGTCTGGTCTCCCCATCTTTGGCCTCCTCTTGGCTTTCGTCAATAACGCCTTAACACACAGAATCCTCACCAATATTGCTGACACTTGCAAAGCAAAAGCTCTCATGGCGTTTTCCGTCGGGTCGACCCGGTTTGTGATAACCAGCGAACCGGAGACAGCAAAAGTGCTTCTTAACAGCTCTGCTTTTGTAGACCGGCCAGTGAAAGAGTCGGCTTACGAGCTGCTCTTTCATAGAGCCATGGGGTTTGCTCCCTTTGGTGATTACTGGAGAGAGCTGAGGAGAATCTCTTCTACTCATCTCTTCAGCCCTAAGAGGATCTCCAGTTTTGGCGAGTCCCGCCGAAAAATCGGGCAAGACATGGTAGGAGAGATCAAGAACTCAATGGAGAGTTATGGAGAAGTGCATATAAAAAAGATCTTGCATTTCGGATCACTCAACAACGTGATGTCTAGCGTTTTTGGTAAAACGTACAACTTCAACGAAGGTATTGTCTACTCTAAAGAGAGCATTGAGTTGGAGCATTTGGTGTCCGAAGGCTATGAGCTGCTCGGAATCTTCAACTGGAGTGATCATTTCCCTGGAATGAGATGGTTAGATTTACAAGGCGTGAGGAGAAGATGCCGTAGTTTGGTCGGTAAAGTGAATGTGTTCGTCGGTAAGATAATCAACGACCATAAATCAAAGAGGTCTCTTCGTGATAATCAAGAAGAGAGCACTTATGATGATGATTTTGTCAATGTCTTACTTGGCATGCACGGCAACAGCAAACTTTCTGACTCCGATATGATTGCCGTCCTTTGGGTAAGTACGAGTATAGGCATATACATATATGAGTTTAAGGAATAATTAACATAATCTAAATATTTTTTTATTTGTATAGGAAATGATTTTTAGGGGAACAGACACGGTGGCGATTCTATTGGAATGGATCCTTGTGAGGATGATTCTTCACCCTGACATTCAAGCCAAGGCGCAGGCCGAGATCGATGGTATCGTGGGTGACCCGGAACGTCAAGTATCAGACTCAGACCTCTCCAAGCTCCCATACGTTCGTGCCATCATCAAGGAAACCCTAAGGATGCACCCACCTGGTCCTCTCCTCTCATGGGCTCGCCGGTCCATTCACGACACTCAAATCGGAACCCACTTTATCCCCGCAGGAACCACTGCGATGGTAAACATGTGGGCTATAACCCACGATGAAAAGGTCTGGCCGGAAGCTCATGAGTATAAACCAGAGAGGTTTCTTGGTGCACAAGAAATTGATAATTTCCCCATCATGGGATCTGATCTGAGGCTTGCTCCCTTCGGTGCTGGACGTAGGGTCTGTCCCGGCAAGACGATGGGTCTAGCCACCGTGGAGCTATGGCTAGCTCAGTTGCTAGGAAGCTTCAAATGGGTCCCATGTGGTGAAGTGGATTTGAGTGAGACTTTGAAGCTCTCTTTGGAGATGAAGAACACTCTTGTCTGCAAGGCAATCCCTAGGGTTTAAGTAGGGTTTCATAGACAACTTTGTTTCTCTCTCTCTGGGTTGTCTGATTTCCCATGTGAGATGTCTTAATTAGTGACTTTCTTTTCTTTTTTTTTTTGCTAAATTTAATTAGTGACTTTCTTTTTTTGTCACCTCCACATCTAAATAAAAGTCAAATTAATAAAGTTCCATTTCTGAAATTTTAATTTATGTTAATTAATGTATTGTAAGAACCAACCACTTCACCACAAAAACTTTTATAAAACTGATGCCCATAAATTTTTAATATATTATTATGCCAAAAACACCAGCTCGCTTGGTTTTTAGAGTTAAGACTAGGACCGGACCTGCTTTTAAGTGCATGCAAAACCTATATTATGTGTTTGGAAGGAGAGGAACACTTGTATCCACCGCAATGCAAACAGTCTCTTTCCCTGTTTTTCTTATGCTTTCTGTTGAAAACTTAATATTTCGTATATGTTTTCTAACTGATGTGAATAATATTCTTTTTGCTATGCAATAAATTTAGGAAATTACACAGTCCAACCAAAATAATCTCCACAAAATGATCATGTAGACCCATATGGGCTTTTAATGGACCGGACTGCATAGGCCTCCAAAATTCGATAGTATATAAAAGTGGAGGCTTTTTAAATTAGTAAATAAAGTGAAGGGGTTGGATTGAAAGCTGCAGGGAAATTCAGCCACGGCCTAGAGATAAACGTGGACCGAACAAAATTACGGAGCCAAACCAACCAAGCCTCTCTCTACCTGCTAACTTCCATTTCTAAAACGTGCTTTTTTTTTCGTACCAACAACCACTTCTTCTCTACTTACAATTTTTTTTTTTTAATACAATCACTTGCTTACTCTAATCTTTTTTTTAAAAAGACTTGCTTACTTTTAATTAGTAGATAGATAAATCTGAAATCTACTTTAATAAACACATCGTTATATAAAGTTTTCAATATAAATTGCAACCATAAAAAATAAAATTCAATAAGCCTTGAGCCGGTTAGTTACCTTTTTTTTTTTTTTTAATCAATAATTTTACATTGGTTTGTTTATCGTTTCAATGAAACTGATGCGACCCTTATCGAGCCATCATCACCTACCTAAATTGCCTTCTAATATAAAATCCTTTTCTCATCTCTCAAGAATCTCAATCCATCTTCCACAACTCTAATAAACCTTCCCGATACATCCCCTCTTGGTTCTATCACTCGATCTCATCAGCAATGGAATCAAAGACAACCCAAAACGGATCCGAAGTCGTCGAACTCACAGAGTTCGAGAAAACCCAGAAGAAGTACCACGATTTCATCGCTACACTTCCAAAGAGCAAAGGCTGGAGACCCGATGAGATCTTAACCCAATACGGTGGACACTGGTGGCAAGAATGTCTCCTCGAAGGTCTTTTTCACGCTAAAGACCATTTCGAAGCACGACCCACTGATTTCCTCGTCTGTAGCTACCCAAAAACCGGTACGACTTGGCTCAAAGCACTTACTTACGCAATCGTCAATCGTTCTCGTTACGACGAAGCCACAAACCCACTCCTCAAACGAAACCCTCACGAGTTCGTCCCTTACGTTGAGATCGACTTCGCTTTTTACCCGACCGTCAATGTTCTTCAAGACAGAAAGAACCCACTTTTCTCCACCCATATCCCAAACGGGTTATTACCCGATTCGATTGTGAACTCAGGTTGTAAGATGGTGTACATATGGAGAGACCCGAAAGATACTTTCATCTCCATGTGGACTTTCTTACACAAGGAGAAGTCTCAAGAAGGTCAATTAGCGAGTCTTGAGGAGAGCTTTGATATGTTTTGTAAAGGTTTATCTGTGTACGGTCCTTATCTGGATCATGTGTTAGGTTATTGGAAGGCTTATCAAGAGAATCCAGATAGGATTTTGTTCCTTAGGTATGAGACTATGAGAGCTAATCCTTTGCCTTTTGTTAAGAGATTGGCTGAGTTCATGGGTTATGGATTCACGGATGAGGAAGAGGAGAAAGGTGTTGCTGAGAAAGTGGTGAAGCTTTGTAGCTTTGAGACGTTGAAGAATCTTGAAGCTAACAAAGGAGATAAAGAAAGAGAGGATCGTCCTGCTGTTTATGCGAATAGCGCGTATTTTAGGAAAGGAAAGGTGGGAGATTGGGCGAATTATCTGACTCCGGAGATGGCTGCTCGTATTGATGGGTTAGTGGAGGAGAAATTCAAAGATACTGGCTTGCTTCAGCATGATAGCTGAATGTGTTGTCTTCTGGTCCTTTTGTTATTTGGTGTGGCGAAACAGAGGATGCTCTGTTTTGCTCTGTTTGCTTCTGTATTCTCATTATTGTCTGAATCATCTTGCTTATAACAAGAGAGATATTTCGATTTATGATCCTAAATGCTTGATTTAATACCTATCCGCAAACATTGGATTCAGTTTTATATAATCACATAAACAAATAAGAGAATGAAAAAAGGTGACTCTGCATTCATCAGGCAAACATGAATGATGTTAAATAAAGGCATTGCAAAGCCAGGTCCTATTTATAGAAACAATGCATTTGGATAAAAAACAGAAGCAACATTTATTCTTCCAATATATAAGTTATTACATTAATAGAATCAAACTAAAACAAGGAGCAAACTTCTGTTGTAAACAAAGCATATATGGATCAGTCATTGCTCGGAACAAGAACCGGTCATTTACCATGTTCAAGCAAACCAGTGCCCTTAAATTTATCTTCCATTAACCCATCAATACGAGCAGCCATCTCCGGAGTCAGATAATTCGACCAATCTCCCACCTTTCCTTTCCTGAAATAGGCACTATTCGCGTAAACACCAGGACGATCCTCTCTGTCTTTCTCCCCTTTGTTAGCTTCAAGATTCTTCAATGTCTCGAAGCTGCAAAGATTCACCACTTTCTCAACAACACCTTTCTTCTCTTCCTCAGCAGTGAATCCATAACCCATAAACTCAGCCAGACTCTTCACGTAAGGCAAAGGATCAGCTCTCATCGTCTCGTACTTGAGGAACAAAATACGATCTGGATTCTCTTGGTAGGCTTTCCAATACGCCAGGATATGATCAAGATAAGGACCGTACCCAGACAGACCACGACAGAACATATCAAAAGACTCCTCAAGATTGTTGACAGGTCCAAGTTCTGTCCTTTCCTTGTGAAGGAAAGTCCACATTGAGATGAAAGTGTCCTTTGGTTCTCTCCAGATGTAAACCATCTTACAACCTGATTTCACAACCGAATCAGGTAATAACTCGTATGGGATATGAGTCGAAAACAGAGTGTTCCCTTTGTCTTTGAGAACATCAACTTCAGGGAAGAAAGGGAAATCGATCTCAATGTAAGGAACAAACTCGTGAGGGTTACGTTTCAGGAGAGGGTTGGAGGAATCATCGAAGCGGGAACGATTGGCAATGGCGAAAGTCAGGGCTTTGAGCCAAGTGGTACCTGTCTTTGGGTAGCTACAGACGAGGAAGTCACTGGGTCGCGCTTGAAAGAACTCTTGCGCGTGAATACAACCTTCGAGGAGAGGCGGTAGCCACCAGTAACCACCATACTCGATCAGGGGCTCTTTCGGTCTCCAGCCTTTCTCGTGAGGAAACGTGGAGATTAGTTCTTGGTACCGTTTCTGATTCTTCTCGAACTTTGTTGATTCTGTCTTGGTCTCGTCGTGGCTTTGTACGGTCGTGGTCGTGACGTTTAGGGTTTCTGATTCCATTGGGGGATAGAGAAATAGGATTTGAAAGACTTGTGTAGAGTTCTGTGGGAGATGAGTGATGATGGTCTGTGTTTGGACAAAGATCAGATTGGCTTTAGTAATGAAGCTATTTTTTACCCACGTGTTAATATGTGATTCGCAGGTTGTTGGTTTGGTGTGCACATGCTTAAAGTAGAAAAGCACTCAGAGACTCAAGAGTATATAACTTAAATATATGATCTGTTAATCTATAAAAAAAATTGGCCAAAAAATAGGCTCTTCTCTGTAATCTATTCAACTATAAACTACACTCTTCACTTGCAGAAATCTGAATCTGCTGCTGTTCTAAGATCTACAATATATAATGCATAAGATTCAACCTGACTAAGTAAGTATCTAGATATCTATTTTCGTAATGACTTGATGAAGAAGAAAACAAACTCTTCAAGTGTTTTAAGCTGTGATGCAATCTTGCAAATAAGAATGGCTCGAGTGTACCTGTCCCAGTAAGGTTTATACTTCCCGATTGCAAGCTTTAGCCATGCTTTCATGTTCCCATTGTAGTGAATCACTACCACGCTCTTTAAGATAATTACTATTGTCGATGTTCATATAGTTACAAGCCCAAGACAAGCCATCTTCTGTCTAGTGGCTCTGGCTCCGTGAGACTTAGAAAGCCAATAAATCTGGAGGAAACGTACTGAGTTCGCAGAAATGACAACATCTTCGTTGACGAAAACATTTTCCTCTAGCCATGGATAGATCTCAGGGATGCAGAAATCTAAGATGCTTTGGCAAAGAAAATTACTTTTGAATTTTCTTGTATCCTTTCTTCATTCAACCAAGAAGCTCTTATATTGCTATAGCTGAGCCTTTGCAGTCATTACTGAGAAACCATGCCTGCATAGCTCTGTAGCTCACTCCATTAATCACTATGTGAACAAGCTGCCTCAGATGATTAGCTTTCGATAACAAAATGGTAGAGGTTGTTGTCAACGAGTCTAGTTGAGTTTATGTTCTCATCCACTAGCTCCTGAAGAGACGGCTCTGTTAACCAATTTGATGTGACCTCGACCACCGAGCACTCTAGGCTCTTTGGTAGGGCCTTTACCAACAGATTGTCCAAACACAGTGGTCTGAACGGTAGGGTTCTTGATGTGAGATTTCATGGTCACCATTGTGGTGGTTAGGTTGTAGTGGTGCCTTGAAGGGTAGAGCTGATAAGCCGCTAATTACAGGCTGAGCCTCCACTAAAGTTATATGTTGTCTTTTGATTGCAGCTTCGAGAGCAGAGGAGGTAATTTCTGATTTTTGTGTTATTGAGCTGAAGCTAAGCGAAGATTATTGTGTTCTTTGGCCATATATAAACATAAGTTTTGGCAAGTGTCATGTAACTGTCCGGAGTACGCGGAAGCGCTTGTTGCCTTGTCGGTGAAATTTGTACGGTCATGTAATGCGTTCTCAACTATTGAGTCTCTTTCCTATTGATATAAACAGAGCAGAGTAAGTCCTCTAAAGAAAAAAGAATAGTAATGTCTTCTATTGTGATTATCAAATGATACAAATGTGCAATGAGGATGGACAGAATATAATTAGGAACTAGTCCAAGCCATTGGATTCTCAACTGTCCTAACAAGCAAACCAGAGCTAAATAGCATAATACCAATATGGAGTCTGACGGTTTCAGAGATGGACTACAAATGTGAAGCTAGGAACAAAGAAGACGTGAAGTGCATTTTTTCCTATCTGAATTAGTTTTAACAGCTAAAGATCATCAATTTCTTCGTCCTTGGATAGTGTTCGTTGGTGACTAAAAGATGTCACTTTTAAAATCTGAAACTTTTATAGTTTTCTGATAGTTGAGGGCTAATTAAAAGTCCGACCTTCAAAAGACACCTATAAACATGAATACATGATGACTCGCAGTGTTAAGTCTTAGGTTTTACATAATTTTGTTTCCCCCTCTCTAAATTCCACAACGAATGATCAAAGCTAAACTCTAATCTAACTATTTAAGCATCAATTGAAGCATGAGATTATAACTAGGAGTGAGTGAGAGGGAACGAGAGAAAAATACAACTTACAAGTAGAATCTTGCTGGGTCTAATCGAGAGACAGAGAAATGTGATATGTGATGTTGCCTCCTTCGCAAGGAGTCCTTCCTCTTGACCGTGCTTCAGTTTCTCTCCATATTTTTTTTTTTAAATCTTAGCCCATATTGGTTCCTGTTGGCCCATTAACGTGTAGGAAGTTCGGCTAAAGCTCTATGTAGAGCCCAAGCCTTCAGTTTCACTCTCTTTTTACTCAAGTATCCACAATATTAAGTTTCCACATCTTAATTTTACTAATGAACTTTTAGCAAAGATAAATAAAAAATTGCTTTGAGACAACAACAATGAAAAACACATCTTCATAGGACTGGTGTGCAGATTGATTCATCAACCATGTACGACAGTGTTCATTATGGAGAAGAGTTGTTGAGGGAATAAAAAATTAGACCACAACATACAAATTTATCTGCCAGTTACACGTTAGGTCCATCATTTATACAAAACAATCTGTATCATATATTCATATAGGTTCCTAACTAAACGTGTGTGCATAACTCTTTAAAAAAATGAAACATCGATCGACAACATTGAATGGGCATAGTTGTCTAAAATCCATAATTAAAGAGATCTCCTACTTCACCAAATCTGATAATTTTGAGTGAACAAATGTTGTTTGTAATCAACTGCGACAAAAAAAAGATACAACGTGGAAATAGAATCACTTTTGTTGAGGAAGGTGCTGAGTAGCATAGGACATTATATGTGATTTTCACTTTTTAAAAACCAAAATCACGTAGAATCAAAGCATATCTTATGGGAATAAGTATAATTTTATTTGTTAATTGTGTACACACAAAAAAAAACAGCTTTCAAATAATCCCGTAAAATGACAAGTGGAAAGGAGCCAAAGTTGAAAGTTATTTGTGAAATAATCAATTTTGCAAATGTTGTTAGAGTCCATTATGCAAAAAGTTAAGTTGGAATTTACGTCATATGGATCATTGAAATAGTCAACAGTCACACACAAACACGTGCCATCGCCATAGGCCCATAGTCCATAGACTACCATGACTTCTTCTAACTCAATGACTCGTTATCACGCCACATCAATATGAATCATGTAATTTTTTTTCTTAAATCCCAAAATTTTTAGTCTCCATTCCATAGATTTTCGTTGATAACATGTATGCTATAGTTCAATAGTACACACATTATATTTTAAAAATAAGTTCCTATTCGAGTTCAGAATTCAATTCATCTAAAAGTAAAACACGCTTCATACAAAAGTAAAGATACTTATTGTACGCTTTGTTCATATTTCCTAGGATCTATACAGTAAAAAAATTAAAAGATTTGGCATGCATGTAAGAAACTATTTTAAGCTCAACTAATCAAAAATTTGAACTAAAAATAAAATAAAATTTCTACATTTTTCTTTTAAAAAACAAAATCGGACCGCTGAATACTTGATCATCGTTTAAGCGGCTGTAAAAACCCTTTAACAAGTTAAACGTACCATAAATATTATAAATAAATGGTTTTGACATTATGAAAATCGTAGGTAAAAAAGTATAAAAACCGAAAAAGGGATACGGATTTGGTTACATAATCAAATACAACTAGTTTGGTCAAACCATTTAGGATATCAGTTCGAAAAGAGTCATTGTATTTTATACCTTCATTTGTTTCCACGAAGCCACCGAACCATGCTGTAGATAATATATATTTGTAATTATATGAATGTTTAGATTATGGGAGTGAGTAGAATGTGTTCTTTTTCGATTAGTGGGAAGTTGAAATAGTCATGTTATTTAATTAGTATTTGATAGTGTGATTAGATTAAGGTCAAGAACCAAAAAACGTAACAAGAATCTTACATATAAACAACATAACATTAAATATGTAATAAATATGCCCCTGTAAATTTTATGAAAAATTGAATGCCGTAGGCGAGTGTTTTTATTTCTACCAAATAGGCACGGCTCATATATGTATGTATTTCGAGATTTGGCTAAAAAAATTTCGTTCATCGATATGAATGGTAAGGTTTAATATGGGTAAGGTGGGGGTGGGATCACATTAGAGAAAAATAAATCCATTTGAGAAGAAGAGGAATGATGGAAAAAAAAAAAAAAAAAGGAGGAATGATGAAAATTTACAAATGTCCAATAAGAGATCATAGAAACTCCACAAGACCACAACGTTTGATGTTCTTGATAAATTTTTATGTCCTCTTGGGCGAGGGATACCGCGACTACATGGTGAAGTCATTTCTGACTCCTTGAAGATCCTCTTTCTAATTTCTACGATGCGGTGTCTCGAGATTTGTCCCTTTCGTTGAAAAAATAAACTCTCTCCAATAGCCTTATTATCTTGCATAATATTTTTAGTAATTCAAAATATTTACAGATATACATCATTAATTAACTTTATATTTTTCATAGAAAATTTCAATTTTTACAAATCTACTTAATATATATACTCGACAGTGTATTGTGATTTTACTGGTTATAATATGCAGATTCATATTTTCATTAAGTGGAACCGATTGAATACTAGCTAATTAAGAAACGAAAAAAAAGTGGAACCGAAAGGATAATATATTAATTATCATGTATCTCACCTGCTTGCTGTGGCGGTTAGCTAGCTTGTCCACTCATGAGTCGTCAAACCAATAGTGGAACATCATGCGTACTAAACCAACAAAACAGTAATTATCATTTATGGATATCCGAATGTTTTATCAATCTTTTTTTTTGGTTGATCGATGTTTTATCAGTTTTTAGTTTCTTATGAAGCAAACAACGTCACAAACTCATTAAAAAAAAAACATAGCAAATTAATCAAACTCTAATTGATTTACATGCCAAATTTTCATCATCATCAATATACTCATCCAATATAATTGTCAATCCCTTCAAAGGAGTCATCAACTTCATTGATCAGCTTCGCGTGGCTATCATTAAACGACGTCGTCTCGGTTTTATCCTCTCGAAAGATCATTGCAAGTTCCCTCATGAACGAAGTATTCTCCAAACAAAGACTCATCGGACATCAAGAACTCTTCATCATCGTGAGATAGAACATCACTCAAACATCTCGATGAAAATCTCGTCATATCTTCAATGTCACCGAAGATATCGTCGTACAAAAACGGATCCGAGGAGTCAGAGAACGTGGACGAGGACAAAGATGTTGCATCAACGGTTATGCTTTGGTACATGGGGAGATTCGAAGAGGTAGGTGTGGAGGAAGAACTATTTGACCTCTCACACTCTGAAACACTTGTAGTAGGAGTAGTGTGACTAGTAAGTAGGCTACTACTTCCAATAATATTAGACAGAACATTGTGGTTGATTCTGTGACCAAATCTGTTAGCTACTCTGTTCAAGAACCGAGCTGATGATGATCCTGACGACTTTTTGTTATTTGAATTCTGATCATCTTCCTCGTGACGAACGCTGCTTTTCTCTGGATGCGGTGTCTCGGGATAGTCAGATGATTTACTGGCACCATCATGAAGGAATTTGTGGGTCAACGGATCAATACCTTTCTTGACCAGACGTTTCTTGATGTGAGTGTTCCAATGGTTCTTGATCTCATTGTCTGTTCTTCTTGGTAATTTACGAGCTATGGCCGACCATCTGATCAATAAAACATTATTTATTAGAAAATGTGTATATTTATATACCAAATCGTCACTATGTAGCATTACTTTATGAAATACACATTTTGTGAGGGTTATTAAAGGATTTATATTATTCTACCTTTACAAACTAGCTAAATTATTGTGTTCAGTCAATTTTTTTTATAATAACATTGAAGAATCTTTCGTCTGAAATTCTTATTTAATTAATATATATTAAATCAAATGAAATCAGTATATCATATATTAGAAAAATACATAGAAATTTGAGCATATGTTTTTGTCCTTAAGCCTGTCGATGGTCATTAATTATAGTTAAACTTACTTGTTGCCATGAGTGGCATGGAGGTTGATGATGGAATCTTCCTCCTCTTGGCTAAACTCTCCACGTTTAATGTCTGGTCTTAGGTAATTCGCCCATCTCAATCTGCAGCTTTTGCCACATCTTTTGAGTCCTAATAATGTTTTAATGATTAAAAACATTAAATTATTAATAAAACAGTGAATGCGAAGAAAACATACTCGTTTAATAAATTAAAAGAAAACAGATTCCAAATTGATTAGCGATAGTAATAATAGTTGAAGAAAGATAAATACATATATACCAGCTTTATCCGGAAGGGTTCGCCAACCGCCTTCACCGTGTCGTTGAACATAGGCGATGAGCTTTTGGTCTTCTTCTTGAGTCCATGCTCCTTTCTTCAACCCTTCTGCTCTACAACACGGCGTCCGTACCATTCTTGATTCTTGATTCTTGACTCTTGATTCTTATATGTATTAATAATTGAAGCTAGATCGAGAAAGAGAGATAGAGAAATGTTGTTGTTGTGGGCTTGTGATGGATCGATCATACAACGAAAGGACTAGATCTTTTGATAAAAACATGAAGACGTCTTGTGGACTTTCTGTACTTCCCCGACACTCTACTCTACTTCTCTTTTTTATAAACTGAATTTTTGTGTTTCTCCCTTTACGAATATCCCTTATTTTATCTTTAAGATGGAGAAGATAGAGAAGATAGAGAAGAGAGAGTTTTGTATGTTTTCTGACTTGGCTGGCAAGTGAGAAATTTGAAGAAGGAACGTAGAGCTTTTTATTTTGATTTTTAAGTGGGCATGGCTCGTGTGCAGCCGACGGCGTCGTTTTCATGTGTTTGACACGTGGATTTGCAGTTTTTATTTTGTTATAAATAATATATCTCCATTGATTAAATGTGTAGACTTTGTCAGTGGAAAATAATTTGAGATGGAGGTTCTTGTACGTATTCTTGATTTCTTAGCTAGCCATTTAACCTTTTCTTTTATGAAATTTATCATTTCCAAATAATACTATATATTACTCCAATGAAATTTAACTCTTGTTGCAATAATCATCATTTTTACTAATATAGAACAGTTATAGATCAAAATCCACACTAGTTTTGGAATTTATAAGATATTACTATTTAAAACATTAAGAATAGTATGTTATAAATATTACACATGACACATTAAATTCTTGCCTCTTAGTTTTTAATTCAATATTTAGTAATATTACTTTTTAACATCATATTTTAGACCACACAATAGACAAAAGTTATTTGGATATACTTTTGTTATTCAAATTAGAATTCTTTAACTAATATTTAGTAATGTTAGTTAACGTGGGATATTTATCGATCCTTTTGTTTGGCAAATATTATTGAATAAAGGATATATACGTTTTATTCAACAAATTATTCTTCAACGCTGAAGTAGTTATGTACAATACTAGATTTTAACCCGCGGTACACCGCGGGGCTATATTTTCTTAAAAAAATCAAAATGTAATTTGTTTGATAGATTATTTTGATTGTTAATTTTAGGATTTCACCCGTGGTATACGATCTTTTATAAATATCAACCCAAACCCGTCCCATCATATTACCCGTCCCGTGAAATTAAACATTATTTAGTTATTTTTCTTTTTAATAATACTTTTATTTAAAAGCTATATAATTCAAGTCAATTTAAAAATTTCTTTTAAATGGTTCCCATAAGATATATATACATATATATTAAATTTGTATAGAGTTGAAATAATATTAATATTACAAATTTTTTATATAATTTAAATATTATAAATATTTTTAAAAATATGTAATATATATTTTTGTTATTGAATAAGAGGATATTATGTGTAAGAAATGTAGAAAATAAGAGTTTAATATTTTTATTATGGAGTCGCAAAAAAAATCTTTTATTTCTATACATGTTATTCATTTATTAATAATAAAAGAAAACAAATCCTTTAAATTAGATATTAACTAAAATAAACGCACCATAATTACTTATTAAGTAACAACCAATAAATTTCACCAAAAAATAGGTAACAACCAATAAATTCTAAACGCAGTAATTAAAGAATGAGATATTAAAAAAATATATCAAATAAGATATAAAAATCTTAAAATAATTGAACATCTAAATAATTTAATTGTTAGTGTCGATTTTAATGCCTTCATTAATGTGGATTTTTTTTTTTACAGAGAAATATTTCCTAAAGATTATCATATTAATGACTCAGAAAATTAAGGAAGATATGAATTTATGATTCTCGAAATCGTATTGGTAATATCTTTCAAATTTAAATAATTAATGCCAATGGCATTCATCCGTAAATAAGGTCCAACTCCAGAATTTATTTGCTAAAAGTCATTCAAAAATGTATATATAGATTTTACTGTCATTTTATATTTCTTCAGTTGAATTTTCTCATCAGCTAGACAATCTTTCGGACAAATAGAATCATTCGTCGTAATAAATTTATTACTTGTGGTAAAATTTGTGAAAAAGTCGTAACTCACGTCTCACGAGTTGTGGAAAAAAAAAAAAAGACCTCGTGAAGCGGAAATCCATACAAAAATAGATAATCCGAAACGAAAAAGAGTACGTGTAACGTATTTTTTGTCGGAATAAAATCAACTGTAAAAGATGGAGTGCGAGACTTTTCTAAGGAAGAAGACAAGATTGTGAATTTAAAACATTATTAACAATTAAGACGCAAAAGAAAAACTAAAACGCATTTCACGACAAAAGCAAATAATAATAAGAAAATTCTAAACAAATTGTTGGCGGGCATGGTCCTGTTATACGAAAACTGAAAATTCGAGGAAAGTGGTAAATTGTAGTAATCACAAATATTACGGTCGTTTGAATTTGATGACAATAAATATAAACTACAACTTGGTCGCTCAAACACTGGACCTGGACATCATTTAACTGAATCAAATTCCCACAAAATGGAAAGAAAATAATCACAACTTTTCTAAATTCTACTCTATACTTTTCCACGGTTTTTTTTTTTTTAAATTTTGACTAAGAAATCATTATTCGCTTTAGGAAATCATTATTTGCTTAGTGAACTGAAGATATTTAGATAAATAGACTCTGTTGGAAGAGCAACGCTCTGTATATATACTTATTCCGAGCATGATTGAATTAAGGTATTTGTGTATATATTTCACGTAAATTATTTTTGGTCTCCAACTCAAATTTTCATTACTAACATCATACATAATAAACAAACAAACTGTGCTTCAACGATTCCATCCACACCTTGATTTGTTTATCGGAGACTAATTGAAAAGATAATTAGATCGGACTCCTCTTAAAGCTTGCTTAAACTTAGAGCATCTCCAATTCTCCATAACGAGTATAGATTTTAAACCATTGGACATGTTCTTATTCTCTCTTTTTTGTTTCACAGTTATTGGTTTGTTTTTAAGTCTTAACATAGCTAATTGACTAGATTAAAGCTCCTGTTGTAACCTCTGTTCTTATTAAATGAAAAGGTATGTGTTAAAAAAAAAAAAAAAAAAAAAGATTAAAGTTTTTTTTTTTCCTTTTCTGGGGCATATTTTGCGTGCGAGATTAGTAGTAAAAAGCAAATACTAAAGCTTATTTGTCAAAAAAAATGATACAACCAAAACGACTTGAAATTTGTTTTTGGGAAAATTACAAAAGCAATAGATGCAAGTGACGACTTCACAATGGGCCAAATCTACCAAACTCTTTGACAATTGACAAGTCCATGTCTTCCAACTAAACCGCCATGGTGAACTAGTGACTCTCTCTCTACTTGGTTGATCAGGAGGATTATATATTTGGGCTTAGGCTTGGGCTTTACTTTGGGTTTTCTAAGAATAATATATGATAAATACGATTGGTTACGTTTGTGTGACATGAAATGGGTGATGTTCATATATATATATACGGCTAACTTTCGATTCCTTATCCACGAAATCTAGTAATTATCTATCTTCCTCCACCAATGAGACACAGATTCATATTCATCAGGTAGACAAAATGATGCTACCACCCAATGCAAAACTTTTGTCCTCATCCGCAAAATTTCTACCGTCGCCTGTAGAGCCACCGCAGCACATCCATAGAATCGCCGGAGGAGCCTCTCCGTCCTTGGAACGAAACTGCAAATTATCGCGACGGAATCTAAGTAAATCCTCGTTGCTTCTACTCCTCACTACTCAAACAACTCTAACGCCATTGCTCGACTTCTCTAATGCTCAAGCAGATACGATTGATAATCCTAATCCCACAAATTGCGAAAACAGAGTAAGACAAATTTTGGTAATTGGATTTTTAATTTCAATTACTCATTATTCGATAATTCTTAATTCGTTTTCTTTTTTTTCCAATTTCCCCAGATTCCGACTAAGAAAGCGTTCATCGACGTATCGATCGACGGAGAACCAATCGGAAGGATCGTAATCGGATTATACGGAGACGATGTACCGGCGGGAACAGCTAGATTCAGCAGCATTGTAAGCGGGAAAGCCGGAATCAGTTACCGGCGAAAAGACTTTGTGAAGATCATGCAAGGCTATGTCCAGCACGGCGGAATTAGATCGTACGGTGTCGACGCCGAGCGTGCAACCGCCGCGGTTGGGAGTCTTCAAAACCTAATTGAAGAATGGGAGAGAGGGAAAAGAGGAGAGATATGTAATGTAAATAAGGCGGGAAGTGTTGGAATCGTGGTGAGAGATCCGTCGAAACCGCCGCCGAAGACGAAGCTTGTGGCGAGGAACGGGAAGCTTGTGGTGGAGGAAGAGGTTATAGCCGTAGGACCGAACGGCACGGAGTTTGTTATAAGTGCGGTGGATTCGCCGGAGCTGGAGGATTCGGTTTTGGTGATTGGGAAGGTTTTGGAAGGAATGGGAGTTGTGGAGAAGATGAGAGCAGTGAAGACAGTGAGGGATAACACTTCATCTCCTTATTTCAGGTAAATTTTGTTTTTTGAATAATGTTGACCGTTGGATTTGAATTGTGTTCTTTGAGATCAAGGGTTGTGATTGTGGTTGTGGTGGTGTGAACAGGGTGGCTAAAGTGATCGGAGATAAGAGAGCTGTGGTAGCTGAGCGAGGTTTTAATCGGCCTTATTCTAAGGTTGTAGTCACCAATTGTGGTTTGATCGAGTCACAAACTCTATGAATGCGCTCACGTTTGTTGGCAACGTTTTTTTTTTGGTGGTATGCAAGATATGTTTAACTTAACAAACAGCTTCAACTGTTTCGCAAATCAACCACATGGAAAAGATTGCAGCCATGGTGATGGTGGTTAGTGGAACCATATTATCCATTGAGAAATTATAAGCGTGATTAGAAATTTCTTGTCTTAAGGCCAGAGCATCATAGTCCATCGCTTGGGCCTTAACTGGATATTAAAGAGTTGAATAAACAAATTCTACTATTTCTATTTGCCCCCAAAAAAAAAAAGAAATCTACTGTGTCTCGGTCCACAATAAAAGGCCGATTTGACTCTAAAGCCCACGAGCCCACGCATGCCCTACATTTACTTAGGGTTTCTGTGTCTTCAAAGTGCGACCTATCCTCTTCTTCTACACTCCCTCATCCATTCTCGGCCGGAAAATCTCCTTAATTTTTCTTCCAGGGATTGCGATAGAACGACGAAGGAAACCATGCCGGCGAAAGAGAGGACACCTAAGGTCAACAGGAACCCTGATCTGATCAGGGGAGTTGGTAAATACTCAAGATCGCAGATGTACCATAAAAGAGGTTTGTGGGCAATCAAGGCCAAAAATGGAGGCGTTTTCCCCCGCCACGATGCTAAATCCAAGGTTGATGCTCCAGCAGAGAAACCACCGAAGTTCTATCCAGCTGAAGACGTGAAGAAACCTCTCCCCAACAGGCGCACGCCAAAACCAACCAAGCTCAGGTACTCAGCTGAACACTGTCTCATTGTCTATGTTTCTTGAGTGATGCTTCGTATGCATTTAATACTTTGAATCTTCCGGAAAAATTGACTAGTTTAGTATGGTTTAAGTCGTTAATTACTGTGATTTTTGAAAGAATTTTGGTCGGTTCAATTTTATTTGTGAAGTTATCTTGCCTTCTTAAACGTTCTTGATCTCTGTGGAAAAGTTGTCTCATTTGCTTGTAATTTTCTGTTACATTGTCCTGAATTTGCTCTGTTATATTGCAGATCCAGCATCACCTCAGGAACTGTGTTGATTATTCTTGCTGGTAGGTTCAAGGGAAAGAGAGTTGTTTTTCTTAAGCAGCTTCCCTCTGGTTTGCTTCTTGTGACTGGTGAGTTTTATGCTAATCTACTCTCTTCATTGGTCACATTCTACATCCCAAATGAAGAACACACATTCACTTAACTTGCTTTGTGTAATCTGTATGAAGTTGACATTTTCTTGTTTTGTTATTGACCTTCAGGACCATTCAAGATCAATGGTGTTCCTTTGAGACGTGTTAACCAGGCCTATGTGATTGGTACTTCCACAAAGGTTGACATCTCTGGAGTCACCCTCGATAATTTTGATGATAAGTACTTTGGCAAGGTTGCTGAGAAGAAAAAGAAGAAGACTGAAGGAGAGTTCTTCGAAGCTGAGAAAGAGGTATCTCAAACACTCATCAAATTCCATCTTGTTTGTACACTTCCCAATCAAAAGCTATTCTTGATCACCATATACCTTTTTGATTCCACAGGAGAAAAAGGAGATTCCACAAGGAAAGAAAGATGACCAGAAAGCCGTGGACGCAGCTTTGATCAAAGCCATTGAAGCAGTTCCAGAGTTGAAGACTTACCTCGGAGCAAGGTTTTCATTGAAACAAGGAATGAAGCCCCATGAGCTTGTTTTCTAGGTTTCGTTACCTTTTTCTGAGGTTTCTAGAGTATCTGTCTCCTGAAGTTTTTACACTCTAAATTGTTGGTTCTGTTCTCGTCCACTGACCAGAGACATAAATTTTGGCTCAACTATCTGGATTTCTGTTTTACATATGGATAATTTATCAATCTTGTTTTTGAATGTGTGAGATCTCAAGCAATGGAGAACAATTCATAAGATTCTATTTATGGTTAAGACATGGTGAATCGAAGTGATGAGATTATGAAATGGGTTTTGAAGAACTGAATAAAACATTGCAATGATGCTAATAGGTAGCTTACATTCTACTTCGAATGTTGATACTCTTATTACTAGTCTCTCACACACGCACCTAGATCAAGCTGGAGGTGCTTCAAGGCGAGTTTGATCATTATCTTTAGGTGTTTCTTTGCTGGCACAATCGGCAACTTTAGCTCCGGCCTCAACATCGCCGGCCAAAAACCGTCTCCATTTTCGTCTCAGCCATCCTAAAAACCCACCACTCTTTATCATCTCCAATGGATTGACTTCAGCCACTAAAACAGTTCTCTGGCGGCGCCGTGCACATATGCGACCCAAGAAGCAGGAGAGGACTGCAAGAACGACGAGAACAGAGATGACTGCAAAGAAGGGTCCAATGGAACCGGAAGAGTAATGGTTTGGAGCGTTTGGTGCTGCAATTAGATTGACGTTGGTAGCCGTAGGTTGGAACTCATTGCCTCCTAATTGCTGTTGCGGTTGTTGTTGGGTAGGAAACAACGACGAGTTGCTACTACTACTAGCCATAGCCATTAGATCTAATGATGTTTTGGTTTTCGGAGATCAAGATTCAATATTTATTGATAGATGAATGGGGTCTCTAGTATATATATATATATCGAGGCATGTGCACATGAACGCTGGTCTTTTGAAGAGCTTTTAAGGCGACCAATGTTTGTTGAAGAACGACATGTAAAGGTGACTAAAGCGGAGAAATCCTCATCAGCCTCATCAAAAGCTTCTCAAACTATAATAATAAAGATATATGTGATCCATTGCACTCTTAGAGGTGAAGGAAACGTTGACTTATAGTCTTGATCTGATTTTGGCGTCTGTCAAATTGTGGGGATTAGCCAGAGTTTTAGATAAATTACTGTAATTACCACATCATGTGATGTTTATTACCTCTAATAAAAAAAAAAACTTCCAAGTCATTAACAAAAATAAAATAAAACGAACGTTACAAAGAATCACACTAGTTTAAAAATCATTTTCCAATTTTTAAAAATTTATTGAACAATTCCTACAACAAAACACTACGAATTTTACATTTTTAGATGTAAGTTCCAAAAATTAGTGTAGGTTTCAAACGAAATTTGATTTTATTCGTACTGACTACTGAAAAAGAACAAATTTTGTTTTCTCTGTCAAATTAGTTTATGCTTAGTGAAAAAAAATTAATCTTACAAGTTTGAAAAAAAAAACAAATCCTGTTATGTATGTTACGGTTCGCATTAGAAGCCCGATATAATTTCAAAGCCCACGAGCCCAAGGAAGCCCTAAAATCAAATTAGGGTTTCTGTGTCTTCAAATTTACCAATCCTCCGCCTCAACTCTCTCCTCTATCCACTCTCAGCCGGAAAGTTTTTCCTTGATTCATTACGACAGAGAGAACGATGCCGGCGAAACAGAGGACGCCGAAGGTCAACAGAAACCCTGATCTGATCAGGGGTGTTGGTAAATACTCAAGATCCCAGATGTACCATAAGAGAGGTTTGTGGGCAATCAAGGCCAAAAATGGAGGCGTTTTCCCCCGCCACGACGCTAAATCCAAGGTTGATACTCCGGCGGAGAAGCCACCGAAGTTCTATCCAGCTGAAGATGTTAAGAAACCTCTCCCCAACAGGCGCACGCCAAAACCTACCAAGCTCAGGTACTACTTAGCTGATACACTGGTTCTTGGTCTTGGAGATTGATATCAAGCTCGATGCAATCGTCATTTATGTGTTTGGTTGATTTGTACATATTAGAATTTTGATCTGCTGGGAAAATGTCGAATTTGTGAAATTTGTGGAAATGCATGGTTTCGTGAAGATTACAGTGTTCTTTTGCCTTGATTTGGTTACGTCATTTGTTAGTGGACATTATCAAAATGTTCTTAATTTCTGTGAAGTTGTCTGGTTTGCTTTTACTTTCCTGTTAGAAGTTTGATTTTGTGTGATTAAGCTAATGAGAAGTCTATGAATATTGATACTCTCTAATGTCTTCAATTTATCTGTTTATACGTTTCCAACATAATCCAATCTTCGTATATCTTTATTGCAGAGCTAGCATTACCCCAGGGACAGTGCTGATTATTCTTGCTGGTAGATTCAAGGGAAAGAGAGTTGTCTTCCTTAAGCAGCTTGCCTCTGGTTTGCTTCTTGTGACCGGTGAGTTATTGTTTTCTATCTATTCTCATTACCTTACCTCCGGTAAATCATTTGAAGCAAAGCTCATTCACTGATTTTTACCATCTGAATGGTTCCTCTTTTTTTTTTTTTAACTAATCTTTAGGACCATTCAAGGTTAATGGTGTTCCTTTGAGACGTGTTAACCAGGCCTATGTCATTGGCACTTCCACTAAGGTTGACATTTCTGGAGTCACCCTCGATAAATTTGATGATAAGTACTTTGGCAAGGTTGCTGAGAAGAAAAAGAAGAAGACAGAGGGAGAGTTCTTTGAGGCTGAGAAAGAGGTATAAGTTTATATCGCATATGATAGAAATAACGCAATTCATCTTGTGCTTCCCTCTTGTCAATTTGGATATCACAGTTTGTTCCAGAAGAATAGACGATGAAAATTTCTTTCCATTGTTGTTTACCAAATCAAAACATATGCTTGTCATAATATCTCGCTTTATATTGCACAGGAGAAGAAGGAGATCCCACAGGGAAAGAAAGATGATCAGAAAGCCGTAGACGCAGCTTTGATCAAAGCCATTGAAGCAGTTCCAGAGTTGAAGGCTTACCTAGGCGCAAGGTTTTCATTGAAACAAGGAATGAAGCCACATGAACTTGTTTTCTAGGTTTCATAACCTTTTTTTGAGTTTTCTAGAGTATCTGTGTCCTGAAGTGTTTTACCTTCTAAATGGTTTTTTTGTTCTTGTTCACTGACCAGAGACATACAATTTTTGGCTTATACATTCTCTGTTCTTACGTATGGTTAAACTATCGATCTTGTTTTCGGATGTGAGCTTTGAAGCAATATTACGTGATAGAAATGTTGCTTTAGTTATGCTATAACTGCGTATGAAAATGAACACATTGATATATGTAGACATATAAACATGTATATGCAGGCTTATGCCCATGTATATGTAGTACATATGTATGGACATGAACATCCGTCTCTCATTCAAAACTCTTTCACCAATATCTATTAGTCATATCTACAAATCTGACACATGATGTAATTTCAAGAAGTATTCGAGGACTGAATAATAGATCAACTATAAGAACCTCGATAATCTTCGGTTTCGTGGATAGTATCCTTGAGAGACCAAGCCAGGGCAAGACTGATGCAGGAAAGGACTAGAGCAGGGTAAGCAAACATTGAGAGATATTTCCATTGATGAACAATGGCTTTTAAGATGCTTAGTTGGCAGCCTCTGCAATCTAAACAATATTCATAAGAACACTCTTCTGGAACTTGGTTCCGTTCATACTGTTGTTTCCAACTCCACTCGCCTGGCTTGTCAAACATCGTAATGGTCCCACATCCCGGCGGTTGTGCACAGCAATACTTCTGCATATGTATAAACATATTATAAGCAGGGCCGGCCCAAGGCTAAAGCCCGTAAAGCATGGGCTTTAGGCATCAGATATCTATAAAACGATTTAAGGGCATCATTTTACAGATATTTATTGTGGTAGAGTGGTTATCACCTTCAGTCTCTTCTTAGATCTGCCGAGTTCGAACCTACTCAGTGTACTTTTTATAGAAATTTTTTTTAATTGTATTTAATGATGGGCCAACATTTTTTTTTGCTTTAGGCATCATTTTCCCTTGGGCCGGCCCTGATTATAAGCATGCATAGTTTCATATAGACATGTCTTTTATTAATAGTAAAAAGATTCAAAACTTACCCAAACATTGCTGTTTTTGCTGGCATTGTAATTACAGTCATGGTTGTGAATGATACACAAGACTACGTTCTCGAACTTCTCCTTAGAGACCAGCCGGCCGAGTAACTGTGGCACGGTGCGGTGGTCCTTGGCGGGGTTCTTAGGGATGCCAAAAGTGGTGTTGTAGGCGAAACATTTGATTGAATAATAAGATACAATGATAATGACCACAATCATGCCGTAGTAGAAATAATTGAAAAGGCGTTTGGAGCGGCAACAGATTCCGTATAGACCTATCTGAGGAATCAACAGAAGAATCAGACCGAGTAACAAGAACTGGCCTGAGGTTTCTCGGATGCAAGAAGACACTGTTGTTTTTTGGTATAGACCTGTTCCCATCATTGTGAGGCCTATACTTATCAAGATTATTGTCGTCATGGTTAGAAATCCAGTTCGCACTTCTGACATTTTTTAATCTTGGGGAACATAAAACCTTTGTATTCAAACGAGTTTTTATCAAATTTGGAGTTTCTTTAAAAGAGATTGAATCAAGGAGATGAACGAGATCTCTTAAAATTTTCTGGCCAAGTTTCTGTTGTCTTTTGGTTTGTTTAATTTGTTGGAAGGTATAACAATTAAGAAATAAATCTTATCTTAGTTTAGTTTAGGAGTTAAAGATTGCTCAACGGTCTTTCCCGTTGGGGCAAATGACTAACTATTTAAAGTAAAGTTGTTTAAATGTTTAACCAAATCACAGGTTTGAGACTAAAGACTATTTCATGTCATAGTTATTTCAGTAAACCAAAACTCATATTCTTCTTGTACATTCGATACTATTTATTAAAAAGTAATAAAATTAGAAATCTTTAAGACTATTACGCATCTAATTTGTGATTGATATTTCTGAGATTTGCAGGTAAGATTTTCTTCAGGCAGGGACATTGTTGGTCTCCAAAGGGGTTTTACTTAAAGTGGAGGAGTGTTCTTTGAAACCCAACATTTTGTTCAAAGCTCCAACATAAGCTTTAACGCTGGACCGTTGGAAGTTTGACATCCGTTGAAGACTTTTCCGAGCACCACATCAAACGTTCTTGGAGTATATGGAAAGCTAGAAAAGTCAGGATTTGCCTCGAAGTGAAATTAGCCCAAACCGATATGAAAACTCTTGAGATCTTGTTCAATTTATGTCTATCCAGCATCTACTAATGAGTATAGTACGATGTGGTTGGAGTACTAGATCAGGAGAGTACACAGAACTATAAATTGTATTTATAATCAAATTAGGCGAGTTTCACATCACACAAATAACATAATTATATGTAATTATATAAAAAATATCCTATATTGTTGTTGTATGTTCATGATGGTTAAAAAATATTAGGATCTTAGAAATATAAATAATAAGATTTATACATGAAAATAAATCTAATCATACAAATTGTAACTACATAAGATGAATTTAATTTTATTAATTACACAATAACAAATAAAAAAAAAAGTAAACAAAAATTGGCAACAAGAGCAATCAACATAATTTGTTAAAACAAATTCACGCTACGCGTGGGTATTCATCTAGTCTCATATAATTAAGGGACTCTCTTCTGAATCTTGATAGAAAGTAACAATACTAAAGGTAACACCAAATCCAAATAAAATGAAACTTGGTAGTTTACAAAAAAAAAAAAAAAACAAATGAAACTATCAAAATTGATTTTTATTAACAACAATAAAAAAAAAACTAAAAAATTTGATGGAATTTTATACTATGGAACGGAAAATGGTATTAGTGTAATGCATGCAGAGGAACATCTTTTTGTTTGTTTGTTTGTTTTTTTTTTTTTTTTTTTTTCAGTTGTTGTTGTTCATCTATTTAAATCGCTTATACTACTAGAGGGTTAGGAATTATTTTAGAAAACCAAAACCAACGCTCATCTTCTCGAATATTAAAAAAAAAAATCTCACAACCCAGTAGAATCAATCAAATTAAACAAAATATTGCAGTCCAAAATAAAACATGAGCCTTGACAGCAAATAAATATTATTCTATATTCTAAGGAAGCATTAGAAAGTAACACTGATAATTAATATAGGGCTAAAAAACGTAGTCTCTCGAAAGAGAATCACTTTAATATTATTATTGTCCTTCATTGCGGCGGGTTTAATTCTCTCAGATTATCGATCGTCCCTGCAAGTGGAACAAGTAACTCTGTTAATGTTTGCTCCCTTCCAGCATCATAGTTCCACGGCTTGAAAACGACCCCTGTTCTCCGACGTTCTTGGTACTCGAACCATGCTTTCTTGATAGTATTGTAGAGCTCCAGACCATATTTTTCTTTAACGTCCAAAATTTCTGGCCTCTCCATCTGAATGTCGCCGATTCCTTCCTGAACGATGTAAAGCATCCAACCCCCATAGATTCTTTCTCTCCATAGAGAGCGCAGAGAACCAGCATCGAAGACTGCTTCGTCTTTCCTCTTTTGATCATCCGAATCACTACTTGGATCCCTGAGGCTCGCGTCAAGGCACGCCCTTTCAAAGATCCGTATATCTAGGTATCCCGGGACTCTTTGTAGGTCAAGAACTGGATCAAGATCTGGAGGGTTTAGTTCTGGCAACGCCTAAAAGAGAAAGGAAAAATAATATAGCCGTCGTAAGTTTTAGGTCATTAACCGATTAATTATCTATAAAATATTAATATATGAAAAGTTCAATTCAGCTTTTTCTTCTTGAATCTTATTAATTAATATACGTACCTGCACCACGGTGAATTTTGCTCTTAGAATCTCGTTATCCCTATCTAAAAGGTCATCTTGGAGACGCCCAATCGTCCGTTCGTAACGAACCCTCTTACGTTCATAATCATTGATCCTCTGTTCATAACCAGTGATCTTACTCTGCATCTCTTCAGCATTCATCTTCTCTAAACTATTGTTGCTTGGGAACCAAGGAGAGACGCAGGGAAAAAAAGAAGAAGAGAAAAAGTTTAATTTTTTACTTCCTCCGGTTCTTGCTATATGAGTAATAATGTATTATGCTCTCGTGATCGACCATACATATTTATAGGTGAAGCTGGTTGCATTATCTACTATCGAAACCTATCATAAAAAGGAAATACAATTAGAAAAGGAATTAACGACTTATCTTCCTACAAAAAAAAGGAAATTAACTTATCCAAGGTTTCCTAATTTTTGTGTTTCTTTTTATCCCACATTTTATTTGCCAGCTTATTATATTAACTACAAAATTTTGAATTGTTGGATTTTTTTTTTCATAATCACAAATTCCCAATGGTGTAACATTGAAAATAACAATGAAATACTCCCTCCGTTTCGTTTTAGTTGTCGTTTAAGGTTTTTTTCACACAAATTAAGAAAAACATTAAATTTTCTGTTTTACCTTTTATTAATATATTTTATAAAAAATTTCATTGGTCAAAACATTCAAACAATAGGGATAATAATAGAATTTTTACCAAACATTTGCATTGAAAACCTAAAACGACAACTATTACGAAACAAAATTTAAGTCCTAAAACGACAACTAAAACGAAACGGAGGGAGTATAAAGTACTGAAGGTTTACTTTAATTACCATTTGAAAAAATGAATGCAAAGAACAATTTTGATTTCAAACAGAACGGTTTCCGACTTTCCTCGTCATATAAAGTTTCATTTTTGTCATATAAAGTTTCATTAAAACAAAAGACATGCATATCTTACAATTGATCGACTGACAGGACATATACTCAGATGGGTTGTTTAAAAAACGTTTGACATCCGGTATCAGATTTTTACCCGTTTGACATCCCGTATCAGATTTTTACCCGTGGGTAATAATATTGTGATATCTGCTACTCGATTTGAGATGTACATACGAGTAACATTTTTTGAGATGGTACGAGTTTGATACCGATCAAAGACACCGATCAAAGACGTAATGGATATTTGTGTCCAACCTACTAGAAAGAAAATGAACTAATGAAGCTGCAAGGGTTTGTCATGATCGTGTGCAACAAGCTAACAGCAATACTAGACATCACGTCTCAGTCAACTCACTTCACCGGTTAAGTTCCATCCCAAACAAATAATGAAGGGCCCGAGACAGATTCTTGGTTGTAAGTTTAAAAGGGAAAAATAGTTTTTATCTTTAAAATATCAATTTGGAAAGATTGGAACCAAAGTCCTTCAAAAACATTTGATGGTAAGCTCCCGTTGATCTTGTGTTTGAAGTGCTTGTAGCTGGGCTACTGCTGTTTCTATCTCCAACTTCTTCCTGGCAGAAAATGATGTTGTCTTGATCATCATATTCTTTACCACTGTCCCTTGCCTGATCAAACACGACGCCAAGGCAAACTCTTCCTCTGAACCACTGAAGTTATGCATCCACACAGTATTCACACGGAACTCGGCATTAGGGAACGGATCTTTATAGTTGTCCTCCCAAAACTTGTTATGTGAAGACTCACCTTTTTCGCTAGGAGCATTGTCATTCTGCACATACCAACATTTATGTTTGGTTACAAATATTAAGACTTGATAGTCATGACTCCAAGGCAAGAATTAACGTACCTTAAATAAGATCTCAAGCTCTGCCATTTCAGAAGTCCATAGAAGTAAGACTTGTCTTAACCTCTTAACTTGTCTTGGATTCATTAGATCTACACTCACCGACAATGATGCTCCCCACAAATCCCCACATGTGTTAACCACAAATTCTTCATGACCAATGCAAATTTCATCCTTAATCGAGTATCAAAACACCGTTAGTTCATTCTGTATGATACATTTTGGAGAACACATGTAACAATACGTACCTGCGAGATGTTGTAGCTGATGTGAGGTAAGAAAGTCCTTGTAAGCCAAAAGTTTCTATTAAACTGGAGTCGAGGGGACCTAAGGACAAATTTATCTCTCCCAAAGAAGAGAATTTCTTTGATGGCGAGAATATGCAAACTAGGTGATGACACTTGAATGCCATCAATCTGTTCGCAAAGTGACACTTTCAAGAGCTTTAATCTATTGTTTTCAATCTTCAAAGGACCATTTTTGTTTTTGCAAGTGAGGTTTAGTACAAGCAGCTCGAGGGAAGGGCAAGATGCGAGGACTCTGTTGACGACTCCAACATCGGGGGCGAGCATACATGTGATTTTGAGGGTCTTGAGAAATTGGCAGTTGTTGAAGGAATGAGATGTTCTGATCATGAGTGTAGATAGCGAGAGTGATGTGAGCCCTGGATATGAGAATGAGTTTGGGGGAAACTCGATAAATTCTCCAAAGTTCCTTAGTCCAACATGGTGTATAAGTGTTAAATGCTTGGTCTGCTTTACAACGGTAAGTGATTGAATCCAAGTATTCAGCATCCCGTTTGAGTAATGGTGGATTACACAGCTTTCTAGATGTCCACGGTGATTGTTTATAATCTAGAGGAACAAAAATCATTTGAGAGAAGATTTTAAAAAAGAAAACGAAGAAGAAGAGAATTTGAGACAAGGGAACCTTGGTCATCAATGTAGCAACCCGATTCCAAACATGGAGCGTATTGTTGGAATTGGTAATCTTCTTTCGAATGTCCAAAACTAGATGAGACATGTGCTTCCACAAATGTTCCCATCGTTTGGACACAAGACTCGTCCTTACTGCTTCTTCTGTGGACAGTCTCGATATGATCATCAGCAATACATCACTCGGGAGTTTGCTGATCCAATCAACCGGATCAGATGATGAATCAAATCGTCTTTCATAAACAAACAGAGACATGTCTATGTATGACCAATTTCGGGAGTATCTATCTGGATTGATGATGATAAGCCGGTGCAACTCCAAAACCTAGAACGGATCTAGACGAAAATGTTAGGAGAAGAAGATATAAAAATGTTAGGGAATATCGATTTCTTTACTAATACCATACTAATAATCTCACAAAAATATTTTTTTTTAGAAATACATATAATAATGACCAAAATAGAGTTGCACACAAAAAAAAAAAAAAAAAAGTAGCACACGAATCTCTAGGTTAGTTGACTCATTACTACTATTGACCAAAAAAAAATTATTTATTTTATAACTAAGTGAGGTTTTTTAGGAAATAATGGCTAGAAAGCCACTTTTCCCGAATAAAAAAGATGGAATGCCACTTTTTTGTTTGTAATTTCTTTTACCATTTTTTTAAAATCAAAAGTGATGAAAATGTCCAAAAAACCTTTAAGAGAATTAGAAATTACAGATCCAACCAAGACAATCCGATCCAAATCCAATAACCCACGACTTGTGAGAAAGATCAAAGAATATACGTAAACCTTTAAGTTGAAGAAAATTGAAAAATACAGATCCACCGAAACTGATGTTTTGGTAGCTTACGCTGTAGAAATCGAAATCGAATCGGTGATGATGAAGATGAAGCAGACAGTTTCTTCGAACTCAGAAGCACAGAGTTACAACGAATCACCACATTCTCCTCTTCGATTTCTTCTCCGTTATCAGATGCTAGAGATTTACCGGAGAGCCATTACGTTTCTACTGAGAAATCTTCGTTCAAAATCGAGAATCCCAAGTCAACGATCGTACGATGGTAACAAGTTCACGCATTTTTTGCCTCTTTATTCTCCGATCTCGCCGCCTCCTCCTCAGTTTCCGCCGCCGCGACATCAGAGGACTGCGCGAATTCCGATGAATTCGTCTTCGGATAAAGTCTCCGTCGTCCTTTGTAGTGCACAATGTGGTCTTTGACATATGGATCAAGGTGCGTTATACGCGTTTAATTTCTGAACCATTTATGGAACTAAGTGAAGCTCGTTTGATGTTCACTCATTGCATATTTGTTGCAGAGAGATAGTTGTCTTATAACTGCTTCTGGTGATCAAACTGTAAGTTGGGACTCAAGGATTTTTGATTTACTTGTTTGCGAGGACAGAATGGTGACACTGACATTCTTATACGCTGGAATACAAATTAAAGTGTGAGATGTAGATGAGAATAAGTGTACTAGAGTTCTTATAGGACATGCAGGAATTGTAAAATCAATGTGTTCACATTCAATGGATTCTGGTTCATGTCGAGCATACATATGTTCCTTTTTAACTTATTTATGTTTTTGGTCAAGAGGGCTCTAACTTTTGTTGCTTACAAATCTTCTTGTATCTGGTTCAAGATGGATGTTTTGCGTTGTTGGATTTAATATGTAAAAGTAGCTCTCACAAAGAGGAATTTTGTATCAAGTAAGTCTTTAAACTTGATTGTGATGATCTTTTTTTTTTTTTTGTCTTTTCTCTTCTTTATAACCATCTTGATAGTTGTTCTGGTCTTCACTCAGCTCTATTGGGATGGTTAAAGGATCTCATCAATCTCCTCTTTCAAAACGAATCAGACGTCGCAAGGTTTAACCTCCTTCTTAGTCCTAACTCTTCAATTCTAGTATTATATCCTATCTTATCTGCTAATGGTTCGTGTTTCCAAGCTGCTTCATCAAGCATTACCTTTGTGCTTTATTTGAAGGATGAGATCACAATTGCCACTGCTGGAGCACCAGATAAGCCTTTGTGCTTTACTCTGACATTGCTTTGATCTATAGGATAAAATGAACAAGTTTTGATTTCTTGACTTCCAAAGTAAAATGAACAAGTTTTGAGTTTTCAAGAAACCAGATTGGTTATTATTTGTGTATTTTGTCCTTGTTTATTTGTATAGGCACTTCCATATATTCGTTGTATTGGGGAATCTTAGCCAATAACGAAAGAAAAAGCTTACTTTGAAGCAACAACTTTGAGAAAGCATGGAAATTTATCTACTTTGGAGCTATAATGAGCAGAAGATTAAATAGTTGCAGCAGAGACTGAAAGATTGCGGATTTGTTTGATTGTAAACAATAGAATCATATGGTGAAAGTGAAGTTTTATGTACAACTAGATCACTTAGGTACAACTGGGACAATTTGGTATAACTTGAACTATTTGGTGCAACTGCACTATTTGATTGTTCAGATAGTTTTTTTTGTTTTTGGTGCAACTGACCTTTTGTTTGTGTATGGTAAAGTGGATCTTTTGTTTATGTTAGTCGTTGGTTTGCTTTTGGAGTCAATCATGTCTGAGTCTTATGGAGTCTAGATAGTGGAGTTGTGGAATTGAGTCAGTTATTGTAGTGGAGTCTGTTCCTATTTTTAAGCTTCTGTCTGTTGTTTCTTTTGAGTCCTTGTAAGGCTATTTAAAGCCATCTTTTTTAGTTACGGTAAAGTGGATTTTTTTTTTATGTACTATGGTGGTATTTTGGTATATTTAGGTACAACTACGTATAGGTACAACTGGTATATTTAGGTACAACTACGTATAGGTACAACTGGTATATTTAGGTACAACTACAAGGTTTTTTCGAGTTTTTTTAAAAATAACAAATTAATTAAAATTGATATTAAAATGAATTTAAATATGACTGACGTGAAAAATAATAAAAAATTGGACCTTTGGCGGCGGGTTATTAATTTAAAATCATCACACGTGCTGTAAAGTGGGCCAAAGACAGCAGGATATTCATAAAAAATTGTTTGTTATAAACGTAGTTGTACCTAGTTGTTCAGTTGTACTCTCATACTCATAGTTGGACTTTTGCGATTTTTACGTATTTTCAGTTGGACTCTAATAAAAATTAGTAATTTTAAGTTGGACACATGAGTTTACACTATTAATTATCATTTGAGAGGTTTTCATAATACAATTTGCACGAAATCATAATTTTCACCTCTTTTGCATCAAAAGAAGTGATCACCTACAAAGTGTTCCTTATACTATAATGAGTGTTTTATATGAAAACAATAGTATGCAATAGGAAAATGATAAATTCGAGTTTTATTTATTTAAAATTATTTCTTTATAGTTCAACATGTTTTTAGAATCCTTATTAACTCTAATTTATCGTTTTTCGTAATTGTTGAATACAAATACGGATACATTTATGATCTTAGTTGTACCTTATCGAACCTAATTATACCTAGTTGAACATAGTTGTATGAATACGACAAGTACATATACTGATACATATATGGTTATAGTTATGGTCTTAGTTGTATCCAGTATAGTTATGGTATTAGTTGTACCAGTCAAACCTAGTTGTACCCAGTCGAACATGGTTGTACGACAAATACAAAAGATTTTTAGTCATCAGGAATTCTTTTAATTAATAATCATTTATCTTCCACAATATGATATATTTACTTCGAAATTAAAATACTAATAACTTTTACGAATATAATTAGTAATCAGAAACAATAAAAGCTTTATATATGAAAATGCTTAAGAAGCTTACAAATTTGATACTCACAATATAACGTCGTTAGCAATAATAGAATAACCAAACCTAGTCTCTCTATCTAACCAACATTTAAGAAAGAACAAAGTATTTGATATAACTCAAATTTAGAGAAAAACAATCCAAATCTTGAAAATGGGCAAAGACTCAAATCTAAGCAATAACATGCATGTCCTTGAGCCACTGGTCCAATGGCTTACCAATAGAGTAAACAATAAACCCTATCTTTCCAGCTTCTCTAAATCAACAACATTCCTACCTTCAAAGACAAACGCTGGTTTCTGCATATTTTCAAAGATCTACTCATAGTCAAAGCGTCTTAAACTCGTCCCACTCGGTTAACAAGCAGATTCTTTGGACGTCTTTAGTGGCGGCACAATTTGACAATCCAAAGACAGTGATGATCCATCTTGAAATCACATCTTTGACCTGCATAAGAAAACATGGATCGCGAGTAAAGCTTTATTTCTCTATCACTAGAAAGTGGTCACCATACAATGAGATTTTTCACTACTAAGCAAAACATAGTAGCAAATCAGATTTTACCTTACACACATTACAATGATGGGAACGAGGCAATTACAAGCAATGACTTACAGATTGAATTCATTACAAGACTAAAGTATGAATTTTGAGGTAGAATTTCCCATAAGAACTCATGATTACGAAATTGACAGTTCTCATTCCCAACATCGAATCCCACCACACTTATCTAAGCGAATCAAGAAGAGATCTTAGATATAAAGTTACAAAAGCATTATGAAATTCTTGCTCTTTGAAGAGAAATCAAATCAACGAGAAGAAGGACAAATGATGAAAAAGACTACAATGATCAGAAACTTCAAATCGTTTATGTCGATGCTCTGATGACTGAGAAAGCGTTGTCGTCATCGTCGTCGGAGCGGTGGTGGTTGTTGTTGATATCCATGGCGGAAGATTGAGGAACTAAGAAAGAATCTCTCAGTTTCATCAATGGCGGAGGAGAGAGAAGAACAAACCGATTACAAGGATGAGACGCCGAAGAAGACGGCCGGCGAGATCGGTGGGCGAACCGCTCCGGTGTGAGAGGAGAGAATCGGAGGTCTCGTGAGGAGGCGAGAAAATTGTTTTTATTTTTTTTGTTTTTCTTTTAGTTTTAATTTCTCAAAATTAATTAAATAAAAAATATTCAGTAAGGACAAAATAGAAATAACACATACTATGATGGCATACAGACTCTAAAATGGCAGATGTGATTCATTTTTCTGGTTTAGTGGCATTCTAGCCTCTGGATCGTTTTTTTAGGTCCAAAGACTAATTTTGAAATCCACAAAACCCACGTTCGAATTCGAACCCCCTAAGCCAATGGCGAAGACTTTACAAATTTTACAATTTTTGTTAAGAGTGTTATCGATTGGTTGGCCCTGAACATCATTGGTAAATCTCATTCGCATGTTCTTCAAATGAAAAGGTTGTTTTCGGTGCTTGGGCTAAGTGTATTTCTTCGAGTTCAAGTTTGTTTTGCCTCTATTCTTAGTATATGGTTTCGATCTCTTTCGAGGTTAATGGAGCTTGATGCCGAGGTTAATGCAGTTGGAGATATAACCTCTGGAATTGGAGATAGTGGTGCGGATATATGAAAATCTAAAGAGGATAAACAACTGAATCTGTCTCGGTTTCTGCATCAGAAATGCTGGAAGAGAAGGTTGTGCTTCAGCTGTGTCAGTGACTGAAATAGCCATAACACTTGAACTAACAGAGGCAGGGAGAATAACCTTAAGCTGTGAAGACAAACCTAGCAGCTGAGACAGTGGCAATAACATGATGATTGGAGGATGATTCCACCTCTGATGACTTAGTGCTACTTGGATGAGGATGCTAGGGATGGTTAAGGCATCTAACAACCTTTCACATTTTGAAGGAATCCATGAGTAGTCCACTAGCAACCTTTCACATTTTGAAGGAATCCACGAGTAGACCACATCCACCAAATAGATACAACTATTTATAGAAAAGTTGTTCTTGCATGTTTCAATGTTTAACCAAATCACAGGTTTGAGACTAAAGACTCGATTTTATGTTATAGTTATTTCAGCAAACCAAAACTCATATTCTTTTTATACATTCGATACCATTTCTTTAACGGTAACAAAAATTAGAAATCTTTTAGACTTTTACTCATCTAAATTGTCATTGATCTCTGAGATTTGCAGGTAAGATTTTCTTCAGGCAGGGACATTGTTGGTCTCCAAAGGGGTTTTACTTAAAGTGGAGGAATGTTCTTTGAAACCCAACATTTTGTTCAAAGCTCCAACATAAGCTTTAACGCTCGACACCACAATGTCCATTCCTGCTCCGGTTCCACTGAAAGAACACAAACTCAGTGAGACAGAATAATTATTGCGATTCTTTTCTTTAGTTTCAATGGCTAGGTAAAGTGAATATACCTAAAAGTTCTTTCAACAGATTCACCGGTTACCGCGTTTGTTGATGAGTAGTTGTTGTCTCCGCGGATTAGAACCCGTGTGGTTGCAATAGCATCAATGCCTTCTGTTACTGCATTCATCGAGTACTCAAGTAGAGTCGCAGGTTCCTGAATATGAAAAGCCAGTGATCAGCATTAGATAAGTACTCATTGATATATATATAACCGGCAATCTTAGTGAAAGAAGTACCTTTACGATAAGATCAACTGCCTTGTAAGCTGCATCTACAGGTCCGGTTCCAACAGAACAAGCTACATGCTCTTTGCCATCGGAGTCGGCAAGTTTTACAGTTGATGTTGAGAGACCGAGAGTTCCACAAGTTATCTACATTCCCAACTTCCATAACCAGAATAAGAATTGACCGAAGAAGAAGATAGACAAGTAAAGAGAGAAAACAAATCCCAGCTCCAGTGTTCACCTGCATGTCCAGGAGTTTCCACACAGCCTCTGGCTGAAATACTTCATCAGAGACTAAAGCTATTAAGTCAGCATCGGTAACTCTCTGGATCACCAAGGAACAAAGACAATCAAGAGACATTATGCAAACCCTCTTAACTTTAAAAAAAAGAAGGCAAAAACTCCTATTTGTTCTGCATCTTCATCTAAATGGACGCTAAATGTTTGAAAATTTGGGAAGAGCACCCAAACCAATGCCCTTTGAGATTCTTACTACCTTTTTTTGCTCTGCCACAGCTTTGAAACGCCAAAAAAGGTTGCTTAGCTGTCCATCATCCAGGACATAACCGAGCTGGAAACGCAAAAAAGTTATAGAATACATTATCTTACTAAAATGGTGACAGCGAGTATGGAATATGGATATGGGTAAAGACATGTACCTCATTTAAACGGTCTCTCAATGCGTGACGCCCACTGGATAAAACAATATGTAAGCATTGGTTTGAACAAGACAAGCCCATTTGGAATATCAGTCTGAGCAACAAAACTTCCATACCTAAGCTTCCCCAACACAATGCCAGCTTCATTTGATCGCTGAAGTCCAATCTCTTCGGGGGACATAATTTCATAGGTACCCTTGTGCTTCAGCATTCCATCCTAAATAGAGTGCATGAATAATGACCAAAAAACACTCATGAACGAAGTTATGCAGGAGATTGAAAGAATAAATATGCAAGCCATGAGTTGAGAACCAAATTATTCCTAAATTAAATTATTTTCGCTAAGAGGCTGAGTAAAATGCTATACGGGTAAGTTATACCTTGCAAGAATTAAAATTCCAGAATAGGGGAGTTATTTTTCTCCCGTTTAATAAAATTGAAGCAGACT